CCTCCCCAAGCCTATCTGACGGTTGACCAGTCACAATCTTGTAACCACATAGATTATTTGTGGCATTGGGAGCCTATGTAACAATAATAATCGAATAAGAATTGCATAATTTATGTGGGTAAGAAAATTTTGTTTTTAAAAAGTTTTTGGAGGAAAAAAAAAAAAAAAAAACAACCTTGTGAGCTAAATGGTGAAATGAAAACAACAAGCATTCAACATAGGTAAAGTTTGTTTCTTCTCCAATCTTCCTCCGAGGCATGTACTTCTGAGAAAGAAAAAAAAAAGATTTATAGATAATAGAGTTGATATAACTATAAACATGTGTGAGACAATTATTATCACAAAACTCCAAGAACTCAACAAGATATGATAAGAAAATGCGCACTCATACCTTTAAAAGCTGAACAACAGAAGGAAGAATCTGGCGTGAATCCTGTGGTGTGGTGTGAGGAGAAATTTCTGCTAAAGCTTTGAGCAAATCTAGCTTTCGTTCCTCTGGAAGCTGTAAGACACAAATATTTTAGAATGTATTCCTTACCACAGTGCTACCAACTCAGTAAAACAATTGAGGGTCATGCAAGAGTCTTCACAAAACAGAGTTCCTCAAGAATTTCTAGTACAAAGTAATTCCCATTTTCAGGGAACATTCAGATGTATAAAAATGACCAAGAGACACCTCATCATATTTTAGAAACTTTTCTAGGGCTTTTAAGGCATTACCATTTCAAATTTTTCTACCAAATGGATGTTAATATATGTTAAGGCATGCTAAATTTTATAAATGACACTGATATTATTGGCCACTAGCTACTTTCCAGCAAACTCCGTTGCCATTCAGAATATAGCCTGAACCATATGACATGAAACTTTTGCATTAACACTTCCATGCCCTCCAGATTTCCCACCAACAAGAAGGTAAATAGACTAAAATAAACATATTGTTGGATCAGATCAATCCTAATTTCAGAAGCTCTGATTATTAACTAAAAGGTACCAAGCGAATAAAGGAATTCAAAAACTTCAAATAGAAAAAAATAAATGCCCAAGCTCTGGAGCTCAGAGAAAAACTTAAAAGATCCATCCACATCTATGACAAAATGCAAATCTTCATAATCACTAGAGACTAGAAAAATAATCATAAGCACTTTTCATTAAGTATCAAAATAACAGTGCTAACAGTAAAGAAGAAGGAACTAACTAGAATGAATGTATATTTACTGCAATAATACCAGGATTCATGCAAAATGAGCTTAGATTACACGTGTTGCAGTAGTTGAGGTCACAAAATAGTATTTCACCTTATCAAAAACAGGTATAATGTGCTTGTTTAAGTAGTTGAGGAATTTGCTCCCAGATGCACCCCTCTGTAAAATGATTTAGAGGTAATAGACAGATAAGAAATTTCATATATCAGAAGAATATTTAACGGGAGAAAAGCAGATATTTAGTAATATCAAAAGCAATTCTTACCACAAAAAATGGAAGAGCCATGAACAGGCATGATATCAACCTATCTATATGATCTGCATCTGAAACCTGCATCCAAAAGCCATTTGAATAGTTACAAAGTAATTTCACAAAATGACAGTGCAATGATGAACCTGAATGAGACAATGTTGACTGGTAAAACTATTTTTAAATTTTAAGGTGCGACATCCTCTCTAATGAGTATTACATTAACTTATGCAAAGAGGTGACTTGGTATATGTAATACATCATATAGAATCAAGTCAGGCATCATAAAGAAAAGATTTTAAACCAATATTCAGCAAACAAGCACTCACATCAAATTGTGCATCTAAATCAGCCTGCCCTTCAATTATTCCAATAAGTTCAGTCAAGTGCTCAGGAGGAGCTTTCTCCCCAAATATGCTTAAACTTTTTAGAAAGTCCATAAACATTCTGAATTCAGCTCCAGTTACATCTCCTAAACTCTGCAATGGAATTAAATAAAATCAATCCAGCGTCTTCCAGTCCAAGTTCAAAATTGAAAGTTTGCAATTCTGGTGGAAGAAGGAGAGACTAGAAAAAATGATGAATGCTTAGAGTAAAATCAAAATAGTACCTTTTTAATTAAATCAGTTACATGCTTTTCCATTTCCTCCTGAGGTCTCAAGAGTTCAACTTTAAGAGGAAAAACCTACAAACATAGTTGATTTCCCCCAATTATCACACAAAACAATGCACTAGAATAGCAATAACGGGTAAACAAAGAAGCAGTCTTAACCTTATCTCGTATAAAGCACAAAACCTTGTCGCGTATAGTGTCATCTTGACTTGGGTCCTCAACATTCCAAATGTTCTTGAACAATGCAGTCAAGGACTCTGCATTCACAAGAAAATCTAGTCATCAAGGATAAAACGAGAAACAAAAATTCCAGAAAATGAAGTGTTCACATAATTGATTGGTGCCAAATTTACAAGGATATTACAGCATAAAAAAGTGGTTGATTACACTTATCAATTTAACCATTGCAATCTAACTTAGTATTTCATTAAGTAGATGCCCAAAGTTCTTTTATTCACAAAGCTCTTGACCTACATAAACAACCCAAACATCTTCTTGCCCATTGAAGAGGAAATGAATAAAGGCAATATGAACCATAAGACCCACAAATTTAGTGACAAAACCCTAGTGAAAAAGCCACATTAAAAGAAGCACTTATAAAAAGCACAGTGACCAAATATCATGGATTTTGGAGACATTAAAAGACATGAAATCTGCCTTGGCCGATAAAGAATGGTATCAACTCAAAGTATCAATATAACCAAACTCAAATTCTAACAAATTTGGTCTAATAACTCAAACATGTAATATTACCAATAACTTATAGTCAAATTTCACCATTACAATAAAATTAAAGCATAAATTACCAGATTTCATGAGAATGCAACATTACCTTTCACATCCTGCCTCAACACAGACATTAGGGCTTTATGAACAGCATCACGCTCCACAATCTCCTCTAGAACAAACAAAGTAAAGCAAAGACAAGGTTAAATACACAACAAAAAACACATAATTTGACATAGTAACTGTACAAACTATTAAAAGGAATTATATTTTTACCAGCAGTAAGGAGTTGCCCTAAAATGTCTACTATTTTAGAAATATACTCCTTTGTATCCTTGCAAAATAAAGGAAGGCCCCGAATCGCTTGCACCCGAACCTATAAAAAGTTTAAATTTAATTAAATTGAAGACAGTTACTAAAAATTCCACTTTAATTACCCAATTTGTCAGTACCCAGATATAGTAAAAACGAAAATAAATGTAAAGAATACTTGTATAGCGGTGAAAAGAGCGTAGATTATATATGAACTAACCGCCAAATCTTCTTCTTCAATCAAATCGAAGTGCGCATTGAGAGCACGGCTGGAGAGGTTGGGGAAGAACTTGAAGAAGCGAGGAATTAGCTGCGCAGCCAATTGCTTCGCCTTTAAGCTTGTTTTCGTGGCATCGATGATTCCTTCGTAGTCTCTGACACTCTGTACCAGAGATTAAACAAGTTACAGATAGAAAAGAAAAACCCTAGGTATAGAGAGGGAGGAGGGGCCAACCTGAGACTTATCCTTGGCCTCGTTGAGGCGTTCGCCGAATTCGTAGAGCTTCTCGATTTGCTTGGCTTCCTCGGCAGCGTCAGCCATTTGGTGGATTTAAGGAACTAAGAGACTGAAAATTCAACAATATTAACATAACAATAAAAAAAAAGAATTCAACTGAAAATTTATATTATTAATTTGAGAGAGAGAGAGAAATTAAAAATATATACTTGGAGTGGGTTTTTCTAGGTTTTTTTGTTCTCCGTTTGGTAACTGGGAAACTGAGATAAAAAAACAAAAGAATGGAATTAGGAGATTTCGTTTCAACGTACCGACCCGACCCGAGTCGTCGGATCCATTATTATTATATGAATTATTTGTTTGCTAATGATTATATTTGCAATAAAAAATATAAAAAATAATTGTTCAAAAAGAAATAAAGGAAATAAAAACCTTATTCAATTGCAATTGGAATGTAAGTTCTTCACGTTCATCATTTCTTTTATGAGCACTCATTACATACGAAACAAGCAGGGTCGAGCATGACCTCTGTTAGAAACATAACATATTTGCCTCAGTGGAAACATTACTGCTTCAGACTTCTTCACAAAGCAGCATTGCAGTTCAGCAAATGTCATTAAAAGAAGCTATAGATTGGGCATGTCCAAGGCTTTGTCACACATCCTTGAACTCAAAATCGTGTGTTTCTTTATTGAAACGTTCAACCAGCTTGTACCTGGAATCATTCAGATAAAAAGATAGAGTGGTTTCCAGGAGCCACTTCGCTTCCTCGTCACTAAGCTTACAAAAACAACAATAAACTAAGTTTTATATCCCATAACTCTGGGGTTAGCTTTCTCGTTACTAAACTTAGCTGGTAAAAATGATATCTCCTCGAATAAGTACCAAGTCCTTGCTTTCTGTAAATTCTGTGTAAAAGGATGCAGTGAAGTAAGGAGCCGATTGAGTTCCTCTTGCTTTGTAATCTTCAGGACGGGTGAAAAGCATGTGTGGCAACTGCACTGCAAGAAAATTGTGAATAAACGCTCGAGCAAACTAACAACTTCATGGATGGATATAGAACTTGTTTGTCTACTTCACTGGCATCTGCCATCTAAATACCCTAATGGGGGAGGCTAATGCATGACATAATTAGTATTTAATAACCCTAATTGCATCCCTAAGCATTCATCACAAATATTTTGGAAGTCAACAGCCAAAAAGTCAGTTACATTTCTTTGATTCATCATCCAAGCACGCACCAAGAACAGCCAATAGATTGAAACTCCTGCAGCCAAGGCATTTTCAAAGGCTATTTTCAACTGCAGAAGCCATAACAGCTATGATGCTTTGTCTAATAGTATCATACACTACGTTAAAGAAGAGAATGACAAACATGTGAATAATTACAACGGGAAACTGGTATTATCTTGATTGATAATACACGTATTGCTGAACTTAATAGCTACCACATGCACGAGTCAATAACTCATAACGTGATTATGAGCATCGTTGAATGCAAAATACTTTCCCTTATTTGGGTCAAGGGTTATATAGCTCATAGACCTAAGAATTCAACCAACACAAAAAGAAATCAGCTTTCAAATAAAAGCAATATTACAAAATTCAAAGACTAATGAACATTGAACAAACCTTGAGAAAACATTGTTCTGTAACCACTTCCTCTCCACAAAGGAGTTGCCAAGACAGATAGAAGTAAGACAAGCAACGATTATGGAACCAAATAATGAGTTTGTAACAACAGAAAGTAAAGTTTTGCCTTCTTAGTCAACCCAATATGACCTCTTCCCAAGTGATACTGAACGTTTAAAAAAAATTCTTAACCAATTTGTTCTCTTATATTAGTAACATGAAAATGAAAGGGATAAAAAAGTTGAGTAATGACGCAAGGTCCTCAGGTAAACGGTTCTTTGCTGTGTCCAAATCCATGATGGAATCCAATGGCTTGGGTTGTAAAGGCGTGAACCCAGTTGCAAACCTCGAAGTCCTGCAATAACCAAGCGAACCCCATTTCAAGAAACGTCCTGGGATAGTTCTTTTTGCGGGATTTGGCCATATTGTTGCTGCAAAGAGAAAGCAGAAAGCAGAGAAGCTGCGCTTTGGAAGCCAAGAAGAAGAAGATGGTGCTTCATTGAAGAGGATCCCTATCAGTGACTCGGAAGGTTTTGCGGTTCTGGTGATTCTTGATGTTAAGCTTTGCATTGTATATTAGTATTCGAGTTTTGAAGTCCGGTGTCAACTCAGGTCCAACTCGATTTGTTCGGTGATTTTATCAAACGCTCTTCGTGCAGGTGCTACTTATTGGTGAAACCGGAGACAGATACGCGCCCATAGAAGAAAACGCAGCGTTTGGGAAAGTCTGGCTTAAATTGTGAATAAAAGATAACCTGGATCTTGGGATCCGTTTGACCCAAAAACAAATCTTGGGCTGGATTCAGGCTCTAGCCCACTGAAAAAGAATTAGGAATTGGGCTAGCTTGGACATACCTTTTGGAACTCAAATGCTATATATTTTGGCCCAAAGAAATATTCATGTTAAAATTATATTATATAATATAATAAGAAAAATATAACAATGAAATAATTATTTAAGGCATGTCATCAGGCTTTAAAATGGCACAAACCATATACAAGTATAATGCCCACACATGAGAGCCACAATCACACACCTGATTTATCTTGTAGTTTCACCAAATTCCAAAAAAAAGAGAGAGAGAGAGAGAGAGAGAGAGAGAGAGAGAATGTGTCTATTAAAACCTGATTGGGAGTTGGGGCCAAATTTGAGTGGGAAAATGTCCACCAAACCCAGCACTGAGTCGAGCAAACTGAATACAGTAATCCAAAAGCTTACGTGAGATTTCTCTATTCAAAAGGGGGATACCACAGCAAACTACTGCCTATTCCTGACTCCTCCAATATGCCCCTTTTTCTGTCTACAAATCTAGTGGTATCAAAAGTTAAAAAAAGGAATTTGAGCGTGAGATAGTCCTCGCAGCTTTTGCTATGCTCACAAGGGAAAGCTTACCTCCACTTAAAACATTACTGAAAAGGGCAAGTAAAGCAAATGGCTCTGATTAGTCTGTTTGTCAAAAGAGCTACGATATGGTGATTTCCCATGTTTGCACATGCATCGCATTTAAGAACTCAAGTTTGGTTGGCAAGTGGGTTTGACTGATGTCAGCTTTTGCCGAGCCTTCTGTTTTTGTAGTCAGCCACAATATTGACTGTTTGCTTCCTTGCTGTTGCTTAATTAACTACCAAGATACCATCGGCATTAAAAACTAACTACTCCATTTTCTTTTCTTTTTTTCATATAAACAGGTTAATGTTTATATGATAAAAGATTATTGTTTTCTAACATGGATATGATTAAGCAGATCCTAGTGTCGAAGGGCAATATGTTATTCATACACACTGATTGTCTTTGCTTCAGGGTTTCAGAGTTCCTCCATTCCTTACCCCAATGTTAATGACTTGAACACTCTCTTTCCCTCTCTTGTACGATTGGTTTCACGGGAGTTGATTATGATCTTCTTTGATTGCGGCAATCTGTCCCAATACAAACTTTTGCACCTTTTCTAACACTTTTATATTCTGCACTACTATTGCTCACTTTGTCCTAAGCTGCCCACTATAGACTGTACAATCATGGCTGTCCTTTATCCATCTTCTTCTTCTTCCTCCTCCTCCTTTTCTTCCTCCTTTTTCACTTGCTTGCTTATCATTTTCTTTCTAACTATAAGCTCTTCCAATTGTGTAGCCATCAAATCCAATGCCGCACTTCCCCCACACCAACTTTCTGTCAATTACTATGCAAAATCTTGCCCTCAAGTTGAACAACTCATCGGCTCCATCACCTCTCAACAATTCAAAGAAGCCCCTGTCTCTGCACCGGCCACCATTCGTCTCTTCTTCCATGACTGCTTTGTAGAAGTAATACAGATTATATTCCGTTGATTAGTTCTACTCGCATGCATCCAACCGTGAAAGTTTTAGCAGTTGATTAATCAAATTTTTGCATGGATCATTGTTGTAATGTAGGGCTGTGATGCGTCTATCCTTCTAGAAACAAAGCCTGGAAGTAAGATATTAGCTGAGAAGGATGCTGAGGACAACAAGAACCTGAGAACTGAAGGTTTTGATACAATAATGAGAGCCAAGACTTTGGTCGAGAGCAAATGCCCTGGCGTTGTTTCTTGTGCTGATATTCTAGCAATTGCAGCCAGAGATTTTGTCCATTTGGTTAGTGCTTATAATTTCTCCTTCTTTCCTTTTATTAGTGTCGATTTGCTTCCGATTTTGAAAATTAATGTTTCCAGACAGGGGGACCTTATTACCAAGTGAAGAAAGGAAGGTGGGATGGGAAAATATCAATGGCAACCAGGGTCCCCAACAACCTCCCACGTGCAAATTCAACCGTCGATCGAATGATCAAACTCTTCATCTCAAAAGGGTTGACTGTCCAAGACCTGGTTGTACTCTCAGGTGCCCACACTATCGGCTTTGCCCACTGCGAGCACTTTGTGGGCCGACTTTATGATTATAAGGGCACTAAGCAGCCTGACCCCTCCATTGATCCAAGACTCCTAAAGGCCCTAAAAATGTCTTGTCCACATATTGGTGGCAATGCTGACATTGTCGCTCCATTTGATGTTACCACCCCTTTCTTATTCGACCATGCTTATTATGCAAATTTGGAGGGCAAATTGGGCTTGTTAGCATCAGACCAAGGTCTATTTTTGGACCCAAGTACCAAGCCTCTGGTCCAATCTCTTGGTCAGGACAAGGCAAAGTTCTTCCAGGCCTTCTCAGCCGCCATGGTTAAAATGGGCTCAATTGGTGCCCAAAGGGGAAGAACACATGGAGAGAAACGGAAAGATTGTAGTATGCGCATCTGAATCTTGTTGCTTCCCTCTATTTCGGTTTTTCCCTCATAGATTTCTTCATTTTGTTGGGTTCTAGGCTTTTTCTTTTATTTATTGGCTTTGACAATATGGGTCCTGTGGGATTTATTGTTGTCTTATAGATGAGGCTTTTGTGAATGTTTATAGAGTTTAATCCTGAAAGAACCTAGGAGACTTGCCGGTTAGTTGCCATAATTATTGTCCCAAGCTAATATAACTTCCTGTTACCTATGCTTGAGGTTTTTTTTTTTATTTTTTTATTTTTTTATCTTAACATCAAAGATGCAGAAGGGAATTTTTATATATAGTAAAATTTTTAACCTTACAAAATAAATTAAAAAATTACCAAATATCTCAACTTCAACAAGAAGACATTTTATGATACAAAATTTTCTTCTGTCAAACTAACCGCTGAACAATTGTATACATAGCTCTAGTTATGAAAAAGTCACATAATAATTCCAGTGATCCCTGTTGCATTAAATTTACATGTGGTAAAGCATTATCAATACTTCACCTACACATACGTTTAATCTCCATACAAGAAATAATAAAAATAAATTAACACTAGCATGAATTTTTTTTTTTTATCACTCAACCATTCGAATATCAATCCTGGATCATTGAATCGATGACAGGACGATTAACAATAAACAACTTGGTGTATGCCTTCACGGTTGGGTGAATTGAATCGAAAAATACATATTTAGATGCATCAGCGCACACATATGATCCTGGATTACACAAAAATCCTGCTTCCAAGTAACCACTCCCACAGCAGCCGTCGCTAACCTCGTCAAAATCTACAGAGAAAAAGTAAACGAAAAAAAGGAAGATGAAAAAAAGGGTGATATGTGATATAACTACTAACGACTTTGTTTCTAGAATATATTAGAAGTTAATTTTATGCTTACCAAGTTTTCCAAGGCCTTGGATCATGTCAACCAATGGTGTGAAAATGTCAACGTAATAGACTTTTGCACCAAGATGAGTTAATCTACCACGCATGGAATTCACTTCATTTTGGAGCATTTGGTTATATTCCATTCCAACCCGAGAATATTTTTCTATGCAATCACGCTCGAGGATGGCGTTTTCAGAGTTGAGAGTGATAACAACCGGTAAACAACCCATTGGAGGCAGCCCGGTGACTGCGATTCTCCGAGCTCCTTCATCCCATAAATCCTGTGATAATGAGCTACTAATTAATCAAAACTTTCAAGTTCCCTCTATGCCACCCAGCAAGATGATCAACATGTAATTAATGTTTGGACCCCAAGCACCCCTTACAATCTTTTCTGGATCTTGATTCAGACTCTAGACTGAACGACCATACAACCTTTAATTATCCAGCAACTATGTGTACTGACTGTTGGTCCCCAAAGTAGGGGTAATTATTCACATTTCAGATGGTCGAAATTTGGACTGTTCATCATGAACTATAGTGTAGATTATTTCTAGTTATTAACAATCTACTCATTTGATTTATTAAATTAATTATCATGAACTCTTTGATAATTGTAACAGTTCTCCATCCAAACCTGTAGAAGCTGCTTCACATTTTGCAAGATGAAGCGTTGATAAGCTGAGACAGTATAGTTCCGTCGTCGAATTGGTAAGGTGAAATAGTTGACTACAAAGTCGTTGGTACCGGCACTGATGAGGAACACAGCTTTCTCGATAGTATCTTCCATCCTTTTCTTTCCAACGGCAGATTGCAGTCTTTTTTTGTACTCTTTAAAATACTCTAGCTGATTTGGTATCGAAACCACGCTCTGCGATTTGAACAAACACAGGATATCAAACTTTAGTCACTTTGCACGTTCAACATAAACAAAGTTTATAACATATCAAAGAGAAATAAGGAAAGGGAAAGATTCGAACGGATATCTGTGGTGTAAGTGGATCAAATCCAGAGCCGGCAGAGGCGAAGCTAACTCCTGTCATCAGCTCCTCAATGCTAAGGCTTGGATCCAAATATGGTGGCAAATATTCTTTTATGCCTATATATGAAACTGCCCCCATACACAAATTTAAGCATAACTGTAAAATAAAGTCACATTTGCACCACAAGGGCATGTATATATAGAATCAACCTACCAATGAGATCAGTAGAGAGCTTCCCGTTAGTAAACCTTCCGGTGGGCGTTTGGTCTTTAAAATCCTTTCCATAAGGAGGAAAATTGCTCCTAAAGAAAGTCTGTACATAGTTATTGTTTCCAGGATCTACCGTCGAATCTCCAAAGACAAAACCAGCCGAAACCTTGTTGTTGAAGGGCCTTTGCTTTATTGAAGCATCAGCTTTAGCAACGAAAAAGAATGACATGTAGAGAAAGAGAACAATAAGAGGAAGAGAATATTTATGACAAGATTCCATGTAATCAGCTAGCTGATTTTGGGATCTTAAACAATATGTAGACTATTTGATTTTTGAATGCAGACTGGCCACTGGGATCGATATGCTTATGTTTTTTATAGTTCCCTGTTTTTTTTTTTTTTTTTATCACAAAAATAAAAATGGGTCACGCACCAGTTGAATTCTCTTAACAAAAACATCGGTGGTGTGTACAGCGTTTCATCACTGTTTCTATTTTAGTTTGGCTGCTGTGGTTTGGAAACCAAACATTTCCTGCCTAATCAGTCTTAGCTTCTCAACTAACTTGGCCAAGGAAAAGCTATTAGATTTTGAAATTACAGAGCAAATATTACCAAATTCATTAGTCAGAGGCTTTTTTTTAATATTAGATAGATTGCAGTATCCTTTGAAAAAAAAAAATTGATTTGGTAAGTGAAATTAATCTTCGGACCAAAATTTTTTTATAGTAATCATGGAAAATGCTTTTTTTCCCATTTGATGAGAGTGATTGAACATGTTGAAACTTGAAAGTAAGAAGCTCCAGCTAGAAATTTGATGTTTCATTTTCTTTACACCCATACCAACAAGATTATCACATGATCTTACTATATGAATGTTAGATTAGATTGTCATGTCATGCATGATAGTTAATTGATCAAATACATTAAAGTATAAAACAGTTTACATAGTTTCTTTTTTTCCTTTTTATCATGAAGTCATGTTTTGAGAAGAAATTATAAATATTTGAATTTGAATCAACGGACAATTGGGTTAAATTTCATGTTCAAATTAAATTATCTTTCAACTTTTAATTTTCAACCACAATTTTTGAGTAAATATTCTAATCTGACTTATTTCCCACAAAAGTTAATACTACTATGCAGTACATTAATTATCAGAAGGTGTGGTAGTTACTGATTAATAAAGGGGTGTTTTTAATTATATTATATACTATATAATAATGGAGGCGTGGATCCGGTTAATAGGAGGAAAAACCAGAAGATAAAAACAGTTGAGATTTAGTGAGGATAAAGCTGCATAAACATAATAATCTTTGTCAGTATGCAGTAAGCTAAAGCTGCATAAACATATTAACCTTTGTCTGTATGCAGTAAGCTAGGACAGATTATAAAATGAAGCTTTTTTATGAGAAAATGTTCGTAAAACGATCTTGATCTGACCTCTGCTGGATCTTTTTGTTGAATCTATCTTGAATCTTATTCATTAACAAATGAAATTACTTGACAGATTATAACCATACATAATGCCCTGTAGATTTCAGAATTCTACTTTGCTAATCAAATTGAGGCTAATGGTTTACAATATTGTGAAAATGAAAGCAAATTAATCAAAGCTGTGAAGAACTTGTTTCTTTCTGTGCTTTTAATATTCTTCCATACAAAGTAATTGTGTCCTCGATCAGCTCTTTATCATCATTTAATAAATGCAAGCAAATTTATGATCCATGCAGGTTAATTCGTCATATGAATGCATGGAAGGCAGTAGTGATTCTCCCTTTATAATTGATTTATCATCAGGGGGGCCGGGGCTGGTACCTGCTACCAGACAGTGCCACAGTGGGGGCTAATGGAGCAGATTCCTGTATGCTGCCATAATATCATACGGACCGGTGGCTCCTGTTCAAGCAAGCCATTACATTGAAAGCAATTCAATTGGAGAAATTAATGTGGTTGTCCCATCTTTCCTTTTACAATCCGTTCTCAAAGTTACATTCAGAATTGATTCGTTTATTTATAATTCCTCCCTGCAGGAAAAACCAGCTGTGTGGAAAAGGACAGTAAGATAGCAACAAGGTGAGGGAATAAGTAGTTAGTCAAGACAAATTGCGTTGCATGCAACAGAGTAGGCATTGAATAATTGTTATGTCTGCGTGTGTGTGGAAGATGATTAGGTACCGAAAGGTCAATGGGTGAAACATGTCTATTTATCTCAAACCGAAAGAGATGGATCATTAAATCGATTAGTATCATCATAAAAGTCCGTACAATTATCTAAAAGGACTGTGAGATGAGATTAGTCCTTATCAATGGGAGTTTGGGACCCAGAACTCACACCATTGCTGTTCTTTGAATAGAGGAAATCAAGCTTTCAAAAATGAATAACAAAAAAAAAAAGAAAAAAGAAAAATTACAGTATGATAGTATGACTATCTTGAATCATATTACTTATACAGCACGTATAGAAAGACAGATGGCCATGGCACATAATTGGCTTAATTACTTTACATTATTGCCATTTCCAGATTACTGATGACAAAACGCATTTGGAAGCTACTGATGCAAGAACTTAATTAATTTCCAGCTCAAGAACTTAATTTCATGGATGATCAGACAGATGGACTTGAGACTGAATTGTGATCAACTACCAATGTGCTTCATTAAGTTGCATTTGCTCTTCAAATCTAATTGTAATAATTGATCTACCACCCCTAATTATATTGACTTTGATGCCTAAATCGCATGTTTCCTCAATGGAAATATAAAGCTAAGATAATGGTGACCCATGAACCACCATTAGCAACCATAAACTGAAACTTTTAATTTTTGGGTACCTTTTCTTTGAATGTTGGACCCAGCCTCCAACTTACTTGAAAGCCCATTAACGATCTTAATTAACAGACCACAAAAGTAGGAATTCATGTTATTTGAGTGTTATTACAGTCATCAGAATCACAAAAACAAAGAGCTAGTGCCTCAAACATTAATAACAAATTCTGCACTAATAATACACATACCATACTTTCATTCAGGTAAAAAAAAATCATTTTGTAAAATTAAAAAAATAATCTGCTTAAAATGAAAGTTGAACTAAAACTAATGTACTCTTCCGTAAAATTAAATTGGATAGATCATGTTTAAGTCGAAGTAAATTTGATAATTCGTATTTAAATATTTGATAATTAATTCATTATGGGTAGTAGTTAGTGTGTTAAACCAAACATTTTTTTTTTTTTTTATCATTCAAGAGAGGACAAAATTTTATATTAAAGGGGAGGAAAGAAGAATGAGATTCGAATCTCAATCTTGATGTCTTCTTTAAAATTATCTTAATTACTAAGTTAGTTAGCTGAAAACAATCAAACCTCTTTTTTGCTAATATATATTTGCGCTGATTTTGGTAAAAGGAAAAAAAATTTTCTCTGAGTACCATAGAGGCACAGGAGCAAGAGTCAATCATAGTGGCAAATTGGCACACTCTTGATTGAGCCTGAACCAATCATATCCGTTGGTTCCGATTACTTTATTTAGTCTCTGAAGTTTTCTTCCCCGATACATCGAATCCTAACCGCCGCATTTGCTTAATACTCTCCAATTTTCTTTGGTTTTAAGCATTTAATCACCTGCTTTCCCGGTTGAATTTTTCAGTTTTTTAAATGTTGAAGCGTGTGGCTTTATAAAATTATCCTTGCAATGAGTTTGATCTTATTCCTTGATTAAGGATGTCATTGTTTGGATACCAAGAAAACTGGATTTGCATTGAGGCATCTACCACATTTTTTCACAAAACAGACAAATTTGAAACATCAGAGAGTGGGGAAACAGCTAAACAGGATTTCAACTAAATTGGTGCACTGCAATTCTTTTGGGATTTTTTAAGCAAAAAGGAATTTTAGATAAAAAAGGAATAAATCACGTGTAAAATATGATATTTAATGTGGTTCAATCTAAATTTTTTATATTCACAAATAAGAAAAAAAATTTATTATAAACATAAAGATTATAAATAATATAAAATATAAAAAAAACCATTAATCTCAAACCTTTAAAACAATTTTAATATATAACCTATGAAATATCATTTTTTTTCGTACAATTGATTTTTTTTTAACAAACTTATTTTCACAAACTTATAAACTTATTTTTCATATACAGATCACGTAATTATAATTCTTTCTTATAATTTTAAAGGCTAAGACTCATTTCGTATTTATAAAACCTCATTCTTGATCACCAAAAATTTTTGTTTATTAAGAATTTTTATCAATTAAAAATATATTTTTTAAAATAAAATTAATTACTAAACAATTCTCTAACTAATTAAATTTCATTGAAATTCAAATTCAATTCCATTTAGAATTTGAGTTGGTTAATTATAGGAACAACTGGCATAAAATCATTTAACATAATATATATTATTGTTAGAATATTAAATTTAATTCAATTAATTTATATAATTATTTTTAAAAAATTACATTAAACAAATTTAAAATTATAATTTTAATACGAACTCTTTTTAAAAAAAAAAAAACATATATTATTGGCCAAAACCTGTACTGATACTAAGAGAGCAGAATAAAATATATCATAACCAGATATCTTCAGCAACAACTAGGATGGAAAGGAATACGGGCGGAATTAGAGGAGGGCAAGCAGGGCCATGGCCCTCAAAAAATTTTTGCCTCCCTTATTATATAATAAATTATTGCTTTTGTCCCCTCTTCTTTTTTGAAATTATTGCTTGGCTTCTCCTTCTATCAATTTCTTGCCTTCGCCTGTGAAAGGAAAGATTGGTAGGGAATCTCAACGGAAACAATCATTTTAAAAAGCTACATTATGAGATGAATATACAAAGAAACAACTCAGAATTCTTTAGGTTTCCCTCTCAACTCTTTTTCAAACGTACATAGTCATTATCCTTGATATTTCAGCAACTTGGGTTAGAGGTTAAAGGGGTAAGCCTCCTATCATCTGAGAAATTAATGCTTCATACCAAATCGAGGCAATATATTTCTTTGAAGGAATGTGTAAAACAAATGATGGGAAGGTTTTGTTTAGGTGATAACATATGTAGAAAGTGCTACCAGTGGAATACTATAAAATGCCAAAATGCAGTAGTTGAACATTATAAAAGTCGATTGATTCTTTAGCCAGCTTTCCTTTCCCCTCTTTCCGCTGTTTCTTATGAGATTGACCATGAATTACATGAAAGATTTCAGAAAAAACTATATAATATATATACAAAGTGCAGGTATCTGCACAAATTAAGCCTCCAAATGATTAGACCAACCACATAAGTCAACATTAGCTTCTTAAAATACTCAAAATCCACTTATTTCTTTATTGTTTGAAGTCTAATTCCTTTCCATGAATTAAGCGGGTCAGTTGATTAAATGACAAGTTTCTAACTGGAATTTGTCATGGAGGAGGATAAAGGTTCAAATTACGTGTATTTATAGCTTTATATTTCTCAATTCTGAAACCCCTCTGGTCTCTACTCTATATCTGGTGACTCTGGGAGATTGAAATTTGTAGATAGCAAGATGGCTGTAGAAAGCAGTCAACATGCAGCATATGATCAGTCAATACTAGAGAATGTATGGGCGAACTTCATTGGAGGAGAAGAAGCTGATAAAACAACTAGCAATGCAACAAAATCATCGTCCAAATCATGGGAAGAACTGCCTAGCTTTGATGGGAGAGACGGATCCATGGAGACTTTACAAAGGCTACCAAGTCTTGGGAGGTGGATATCAATGGGAGCTGGCGCCTGGGAGGATCTTCTTGATGGAAATATTCCTTCTGGAAAAATAGAGCAATCCTGTAATGATAATACAAGCAAAGACACAAGCAGTCGAGGGCTTAAAGTGAATTCTGTGAGAGTAGAGAAAGTGGCAAAAAGACACTACCGGGGAGTGAGGAGGCGGCCTTGGGGAAAGTATGCAGCAGAGATAAGGGACTCGTCGAGGAAAGGAGCTCGAGTTTGGCTTGGGACTTTTGGCACAGCTGAGGAAGCAGCTATGGCTTACGACAAGGCTGCCTTGAGAATTAGAGGCCCCAAGGCATATCTTAACTTCCCAATAGAGACAGTTGCTAAGGCTATGGGAATTGACTACACAAAAACTGACCCCAACTGTTGTTGGTCTGCAACTTGTCAAGGTAACGACTCTGCTTTCACAGGTCTCCGCTGCGATGAAAATTTCACAAATCACCGAAAAAGAGAGTCTAGAGATTGGGAAGAAAACACTGAGTTTGTGATGGTTGAACAGCAAACAGTAAAGAGAATGGCAATTGTTGAACAAGTGCTTGAGGATGGATCTGATGTATTTGAGTTTCAGGATTTGGGGAGTGATTATTTGGATAGTTTGCTGTCTTCTTTTTGACAGAATTCGGAATAGGCAGCCATCTGAAAGAGTCGAAGGGATACAATTGAAAGATTACAACTGTACATCGAGATTGAAATTTTATACAACTTTGCTTTAAACAATTGTCAAATGAAAATAATTAAGAACCTTGAAACCTTCTTCAAACCAAAACTAACTCGACAATCTAAATCTAACTATCAAATCTTCAGAATTTTGTGTATGTGCTACATTCAAATATTATTCTAGTTTTCTCATGGATTCAATGATTGAGTGGCTATGAACAGAGAAAATGTTGCCTTAACAGAAACAAATCGATGAAATGCAACATAATCTCCTCCTTCAAGTCTCTAAAAAAGCCTGTAAAACGGGATGCTGATTGCTGAACCAGTGCCTGGCTCAGTCCTACTTGTAATTCATATCATTTTCTTTCATTGGTAGAAGGGACAAGATCTGCTTGACAACATACATGAAGCAAATTTCTTGTAAAATTGTTTTTGGGTTCGATCTGGGCACAATTAATTTTTTGGGCTAAAACAGGAATTGGTCTATTTTCTTATGTCAGCCATTTGCAGCCCATTCTGCTCAACTTATATTTTCTTTCCCAAAGCCCAGCTAACGACACCGTACAGACCTAACCATTTTTCCCAAGCTACCAAAAATGGAGTAAACATTTTTTAAACGAGAAGATGCATAACCATTTAAAAATTTTTCGGTGATTTAAACCTATAGTTTAGGACTTTAGTCCAAAAACAGGTGGGTTAATTGGAGTTTCATGTTAGTTTAAAAAGCAAAAGGGCTTTTTTTTTATTATTATTTGAATTCAAAAAAAAAAAAAATTGTAAGTAGATATACAATTTAGACCTTAGTTATACTCCAAAAAAAAAAAAATGAAAACGAAATGATTTGATTGATACTTGATATTGTTTTATTCTATTTTAATTAATTAATTATTGACATAACTAAGAATTTAATTCTGAAATTAAGAAACGTACAAAAGCAATCTTATCTATTGGGCTAAAAACACAAAGATCGCAATTCACGTCACGCTATCGATCATTTTTTTTTAATTTATTCGGAAAAATGATGAAATTTAAAAATATATATTATTATAATTATAATTTAAAAAATTTATTAAATTTAATATTTAAATTTAATTGATAATAATTAAAATTTAATTACGTTTCATTAAAGGTGCAGTTGCGTGGCTGACTCTCTTTCGCCGCCCATAATTGTGAACCAAATTCTGAATTTGCTTTCTCCTTTTATCCCACTTGAAAATAAAAGTATAAAATTCTTCTAGGTTTGACCGTTTAAACATGGGAGTAGGTGGGATTTTTATACAAGCTCTTGATACTTTCATTATTTGATTTTTATACAAACTTTTGTCAAATTCGATCCCAACAATACCACCAACTATTCTCTCTTGGATCCTTTGACAAGCAAACTAGGTAGGTAAATTGTCACATGCATAGATTAAATGGGGAAGATTTTATTTTAATAAAAGTCTTTTGTTGCAAATTGCTATTGTTTTACTTTTATTAATATTTTTTTTATGGTCAAAAAGAAATCAAATTGATGCACTTGTGCTAGGAAACCAAAAGGTCCAATTTAATACTATTCAACTTGTTCAGATGCAATGGATCTAATAAAAATTTAGCATTCTCATTGTGAGAAAACAATACGATCTTTTTCGGGAAAAGAAAGAGAAAAAAAAATGCAGAGCTAAAGTCAATTTCGTCGTGCATGAAGCAGATATGTTGTAAAGAGAAGAAAAAACTCATATTTAGTGAGTTTGGATTCTATCACAGCTTTAGTATGATGTAATTGATCTTATGATATCATTAATTAAATTTAAATATCAATTTCGATAAAATTTATTTCATATAAATTTTTTTTCAATCATATTCCAATAATTCCATTCAACTCTTTCTTCACCATTCTAATTACATCTTTCGCCTTACTGACAAACCTGTTGTAAAACAATAAGATTGAAGTACTCGTTTTCAAATAGCATTTGTGCACTTGTTGCAATCTGCATTGGACACCGACGATCTAACTATTTCCTTTATATACAAAAATGGTAAGGACACCATTAGGAAAACAGAAAATCAAAAGGGAAAATGTAACCCCACAAATGAAGCATCAAAGGGAAAATGAAAACTTTCACACATCTGAATCCTAGTGTTTTTTTGGGACTTTTGGTCCCGGGTGAATGGTAGATTCTGATTCCTCGAGGCCTGTCTTAGAAAACTTTCAAGGACTTGTCCAAGTGATCTGATTTTGACCCTTATTATGGGACTCCCCAGTTGTGCTGCTTTCTGATTCTGATTTTGATGGCCCAACTGAAAGCGTGCTGGAGCTACTACCTAAATCCAGATTAGTTTTTTCTAAGCTTGTTGAGCTTAAGTTTGGCCTTAATATTTGGACCGACGACGCAGCCACAACTTCAGCTGGAAAATTGAGCAACGCCTTGGAACCACGCATCCTGAAAGCTGCACTGTCATAAGCCAAAGCAGCTTCTTCAGCTGTTTTGAATGTGCCTAGCCACACGCGTGCACCATTTCGAGTGGAGTCACGGATCTCTGCGGCGTATTTGCCCCACGGGCGACGCCTGACACCCCTGTAGTGCTTCTTGGCGATGGTCCTGGCTGGGTCAAGCACGTTTGTTACGGCAGTTTGGTTCCTTGCGGGTACATGAAACTGATGAAAGTTATTGATTGCCAGGGCATGAGAGTTCGCTTCGTTCAAGACTTGGTAGATGAACATGTCTTGAGAGTCATTCTCATTAAACGGCAGCTGATGATCATTCTGGGACTGTGAGACTCGAACCATGGATTCCTTCCAGGCCCTTTCTTCTCTATGGGATGACATGTTGGTTTCTGGAGTCTTGACGGGATAGTGTTTGATGAGGCCTGAAGTTTGTACAAAGTGGCTCTAGACTAGAATTTAAGAAAGAAGAATCGTGGGTGCATGTAGGGTCCTTCCTTGGAATTTTAGACCAAAGGAAGGTGCGAGGAATCAGCGAATGGACAAGATTTTGCTCTTCCTTGGTCTATTCTACTTTAATTTAATTCTTCACAGGTGCTTACACGAAATTAAATTTGCCCCCGTATTTTTCTAGTCATTACAGGGACACATTTCTTTTCTCCCAAATATATTTGTTTCTTTAGCTAGGCTCCTCTTGTCTTAGATACGTGAATTATAAAAAAGACATGGAGAAATTTCAGGAAGGATGTGATGTTTGTCTTATGGACCATTGCAGATTTAGATAAGAACAACACCTTTGCTGAGGTGGGTTTTGAAAAGCTGAAAACTTTTGGGGTTTGTCTGAGACTCAGAAAGGGACAGATGTTCTTCTTTGGATAAATTCGGATTCATCAATTATCATGAAAATTAGATGAAGCCAAAGTTGGGTTTCATGTCAATTTTGAACACATCATTTTGTTGAACATAGAATACCGGTATTATCTTTGATTTCTTAGAAGGATTATGAAAACATGTTTTAGTGTCACGAGTTGAAATTTAAGCTTCGAATTTATGCGTCTCCGATATCTGGATATTCATCTTTTCGACGTCTCAGATCAGTCTTTCTGTCACGATTCATACCCTTGTGAGGTATTGTCTGCTCTGATCTCTTGATCTCATAATTTTATCCTACAAATAGCATTTCACAAGGCGAAAATGGTGTAAACCATTTTATACCTCAGGGATTCTCTTATTATATTCGATGTAAAATTCAAGACTCTTCCTTAAGTCCGTGATACTAATACATAGATAATAACTTAACAATCACCACATTTTACAGCTGGATAATGAATTAGGGGATGGAAAAAAGCTTATGAAAAATGGAAGTAATAAAAATGATGGGACAATTTTGCAATTGATTGTTAAGTTGTGGCAAATGTATTAATATATAAAGCTGAGGGTCTAGTCTTTTTCGCTTTATTAAAGGTGAAGTCATCCAGGATGACCTTTGCTACTATCAGGATGCAATGGATGACGCAAATGGTTTGGCAATTCATGGAAACAGAAGCTTTTGAGCTCATCAGGGTCGTCATAGTTCTTTCTAGATCACGAGGGGGGGGCTTTGGAATAAAATGTTGCAAATCAATCACCATCTTGACTTTTCTAACAATTGAGGTTTAAGCGCACAATGAAAATACAAAAGATGAAAAGCACAACTCTATTCATTTATAAATCATAAAAGCATATACCATAAAACTTTGAAAGTCAAAAGAAAGAAAAAAAGAACTAAATTGATCTATTTGTAATTCTTTTTCCAAGGATGGTCCAAAGAGAAGACTAAACCACAGCACACGTGACTTTGAATGAATGACGAAATGAAAATGGGGGAAACGAAATTAAAGGTTATTTATAACATCATTTTACAGATGTTGGATCTTAAAATTTATTGTATAAATTAATTTAAATTTGTGAATTAGCAAATTCATTTTGTATACATTTGTGATTTAGTAATTTCGCATCTTGCCATATGATACATTCATTGTGTATGTTTTTCATTGGAAAATGGTAATTATTTGTTAATATCTCCTAATATGTTTCTTGACCCAACATTTTATCAAACCATATGTGATAAAAATTCTTTGATGCATGAAATTTTCACATGAAAGTATTGCATTGTAAGATCTAAAAACTCTAATTAAGCATAATCTATCACCCTTTTGAGGTTTTTTAAAATCAAAATAAAATATTGAAAAAAAATAGATTTCACCGCAGCTCTTCAACTAAAATTATAACAATTAAAAAAAATGTGTAAATAAAAATCGAATCAAAGACATCAACGTACCCATACCGGGGCTCGTCAATGAAACAACTGATATACTAGCAGAGGCATGGGGAGATGTTGTGAGAAGGCCCCAAGGGTATTACTAAGAAATGGCCCATGAGGCAAGTCTGCAATTATTGGGCTATAAATCCTTAACAAAATTAAAATCAGCTACCAACATGGGCATCTAATAACCAAAGCCGATAAGGAGAAATTATTTGATATATTAAGGGTGAAATTTTTTAATTTTAGAAGTGAAATTAAAATAGTGATATATATCTTTTTTTTTAAATGAATTTTTTTATTTTTTAATATACATTAAAAAACATGTATTACTGTTTTAATTTTATTTAAAAAATTAAAAAATTTTACTGTTAATATATTTAATAATTTCTCCAAAAAAAAAAACTACTAAAGTATATAGAGGTATTAGTTTGAAACCAAAACCCCCTCTCTTTTCTCATGGACTATACCCATTACAAAGGAAAAAAAATCACTTAAGTATATAAATTCACTTCAATTTGTAGGGAAAAGAGAAACCTCTCAATCCCTCAATCATATAATATGCCATGATTAACACAGACAATAATAAAACAAAATTAAAACCAATTCTAGTGTTCATGTGTTTTTTATGAATAGAAATTGGATTCCCAGATTCCTTCTCCACATATTTTTTTGCTTCACTTAAAAACTTTAGCAGGATTGTTTGAATCCTTGTCGCTAAATTTAAGAGTTCAATATTTTATGAATAAATTTTAACTCTGATGTTTTAAGACATAATTTATTGAGTTTAACTTTAGTTGAATAAAATGTAAATACTAAATCGATAATTAACAGAAGAAAAAGATGAAAATTGATAAACCTCTTTCAATATATAGTAATATCTAAAAGTATTTCTAATATACTACTAATATAATGTGCTCTATAATCAAAATCAAGTAACTGATCACATAATTAACTATGATGAATAAATAGCATTATGAATATTGCAGTACTTTTCAATGCAAACCTCTCCCTTGAGAACCACTAACAGAGCCATCAATATATGCATGGAGTCTTCCTAATTTGCTTCCTCTCTGATGATGTCCTTGATTAAAAGAAGCTGGCGGCCTCATGGCAGAATTACCCAGGATTTGATTTCTCTGCAGGTCTTGCTTTGGTAAAAGAGCAGTTGTTTCATGAGCAACAGCATCAAGACCTTCTTCTTGCAGTATTACTGATCTCCCTTGCCCTTGCGGAATTGCGTGGTAATTAGGAATACCTGGAAAATAATTATCTAGTCCTGGGTTTTCGATATTGTCAGCTCTTTGCAATAATCCAGCGTAATTATTCATGATTACATCTAATCCTAAATTTGGGTTATTAGCATAACCAAAATTTGTAGCATTGATGTTGGTATCAGCTACAATTCCAGCAGAATTGTTGTTGAATCCAATCAAACCAGACCTCTGGTAAGGCACAACAATATTCTGCTGTGGATTCTGCTGATTTTTCAACAACTCAAGCTCTCTCTCCAGCTTCCTGAAAAGCCCTAAAGGCCCTTGAATTGGATCTTCCTTCCAAGCAAACGCTTCCCATTCAAGGGATTCGACAGCCCTTTTCCTGTCATGGGGACTAAGATTTTCCAAGATACTTGTCGCGTTTTTTACTCCAAAAATCTTGTGAACTTCTCGGAAATAATTTGCCCTAGTTGCCGGGAAGTGGGAAGCAAAAACACAATCCTTTTCGCACTTTTTCCTTTGATGCTTGCAAGCTGCGCATGCATGGCGAGAATTTAGGGGTTCTTCGGCGTTTCCAGCTGACATTATGTTATTACTATGGACAAAGAATATTAGGAAGAAGAATATTAGGTTTGTTTGATAGAACATAGGGTTTTTTTTTTTCCAAGGGCTTAAGCGAGGTTTTATATATCATAATTAAATTAAAGTTTTAAAACTCAATTTTGGCCTTTTAATAATGTTTATGAAAGTCTTAACTACATGCAAGTATTCATAATTAGTATTATGTAGATAAATCTCTTATAGTCATTGGATTTATGGACCTTATAGCTTTTATTTTTATTTTTATTTTTATTTTAATAGTACTTAAATTAATAGCAGGTTTTAACTAATATAAGAAGTATTATTATGGGCAAATCCTAGCCAAAAGAATGAACTACTTTCATGTTTATTGAATCAATCACGACCCACCATCTCATCTAAATTACATCATTAATTAAGTTTAATTTAAAGAGTTTTAGTGAAATCCAATATACAAGTCAGTTAAAATAAATAAAATATAAGCTCCTAAGAAAAATTGTTTTTATGGTGATAAAACAAAATAAACATCCACAGAAAAATTGTTTTATATCTGCATGATCAAACCCCACATAATTTAACTTGAATTTTTTGTAGTTTGCTTAGAATTGAAAGGGTAGTGTGTAGTGTTTTATATATATTTAAAAAAAAAAAAAAAACAATGGCAGATTATGTCTTGAAGAAAAACATTTTTATGCTATTTTGACAAGTGGATAATTACTTTGAAATTGATTTATTTTCACGAGTTTAAAAAAAAAAAATTTATAGATACTCAGTTAGGTGCTGTAATTCTACTATTGTGGTTTAAAAATTTTTAGAAATTGATCAACGAACTTTTATTAATCAAAAGTTATATACAATTTACGAACAATATGTCTGAAAATATGAATATGATGAACGTTATGACAGGAAATTTTTGTTTCTTTTACTATTTCAAACAAAAGAGGAATTAAATTTAGAATCTCCTTGAACTGTAGTAATAAATTACTGAAAAACTCTCAAGAATTTGCACTAAAAATCTCATCGGTAGCCTAAAGCTAGATTTTCATCCTTATATTAGTTTTTGTGATTCAAGTTCATGGTTGCATAGGACCTCTACAATTTAATTCAGGGCACGTTGTTTTGTTCGTTTTTACTCTGGGTCCAAATGCTTGCTCCAGCCGTGAGCTTTCGACTTGCGGCTTAGGCGTACAATAAAGTCATATAATAGAGTCTGCCATTCCATATGCAACTCGATCTTAATAGCTATGGCAAAGATCAATGATTCGGAACCATAAGATGTATTATAATAACAAATAGATTTCATTTTGATCAATCATAAGATTTTTCCTAAAACCTTATAAACATAACTATGAATAATTCTTTACCCTTTTTCTTCATTGAAAAAGCAAGAGGAACGACATTAATTCCTCAGCTCCAATTCCCACCCTACCGCACTGCATTTTTTTTTTTTTTTTCACTAACTCATGAGTGATGCTTCTCAATTTACGGCACATGGTGCTAAAGGGCAATTAATTTTTACTATTAACCCAAAAATGTATAGAGTTATCAGGACATTCTCTTACAAGTTACACCATCCCTTAAATGGATAATTAGAAAGGTTACCTTAATTGTAAAGATGAGTTACTTCTTGGATTTTAAGTTTCAAAAAATTGGTGGGGACAGAGGCAAGCTAATCTGCACGTATAAGCGCCAAATGATAATTATGCTGTCGCTCAAATGGCACTTTGTGAAGGATAGTACAAGTTTTGGACTGGTTATTAATTCCATCATGGTGTATTGGCTAATGAAGCAACTTCTTTCTTATCAAACTATTATCATCATTAGTTCTATGACCTCCCTTCCTCAACATTTAAACCAACCAACACCAGCACCAAACCTATACTTTAGTCACCTATTTCTAGTCATGTCCTTGCACTTAAAGAAAAGAAATCCCACCCTTCAATCATTCTATGTTGGATCAGCAACGGCTAAAGTTGGGTAATGGGATTGTAGCAGGTTGTTAAAAGCCGACCCTCAACTTCCATTTCTTTTCATACTTTCACAATCTCCCTCCATTTTCTTATTATAGTTGATCATAGTTTTTATAACCATATAAGTTGCGATCAAATTTAGGATCATATATTGAAGGAAGCAGCAAGGAGGGGAGAAGATGAGCACAGCAAGATTTATCAAGTGCGTCACAGTAGGGGATGGAGCGGTGGGAAAGACTTGCATGCTCATTTCCTATACTAGCAATATTTTTCCAACGGTAATGATGGGATCATGGAATATTTCATGGATGTGGTGGTCTTGATCATGCCGATTATTATGACATCACGAGAAAAGTGACAATAATGCAATGGCTTTTTTTTTTGTTTTTCTTTTGGTTTTTCTTTCTGATACAGGATTATGTTCCAACAGTATTTGACAACTTTAGTGCCAATGTGGTGGTGGATGGCAGCATAGTGAACCTAGGCCTATGGGATACTGCCGGTAAGTTCATGAGTCTGCAGCCTTAAAATCCTAGCTTCCATAATTTCTGTGAAATTACTGATCGTTCAAATCAATGCTGTGACCTCTGAGTAAATTTGTGAATTTCAGGACAGGAAGATTACAACAGGCTAAGGCCTTTAAGTTATAGAGGAGCTGATGTGTTTTTGCTGGCATTTTCCCTGGTTAGCAAGGCCAGTTATGAAAATATCTACAAAAAGGTAATTTTTCTGGCATACCTACCCTCTCGTTTCCAGTTTTCTATAATATCTTTCTTTAATTTAACATCCTCAAGTTCCTTGATTTTGACAAAAATATTGAATTCATGGCTAACAGTGGATCCCGGAGCTTAGACATTATGCTCCTAACGTGCCAATTGTGCTTGTTGGAACCAAACTAGGTAAACTACCCCCATCTTTAAATCACTTCAAGCACAATTGAGAAAGCCCCAAGTTTAGAAAGAAAACAGACTACATTTTTATTCCTATGCACCTAACTCTGCATTTCAGGGTCTTGGATTACACATAAACATCTTGGAATGTACTGTTAGAATAGTAGATCATTCTCTGTATCAGTCAATTCTGTCTTTCAATTTTGTACACTCCTGTATATTTGACTCTAATTGAATGTAGATTTGCGAGATGACAAGCAGTTCTTGAGTGATCACCCAGGAGCAACAGCAATAACAACTTCTCAGGCAAGTTAACAATTAAAGCATTCATAATACTAATATACTTTAATAGTGTTCCAACTAATACTGATAGTTCATTGTTTGTTTCAATGAAAACATGGTGAGCAGGGAGAGGAACTCAAGAAAATGATAGGAGCAGTTACTTACATTGAATGCAGTTCCAAAACTCAACAGGTACTCTATTTCTATGCAGCCTTTATCATAGAATTTACCATTTTTTCCAATATCCTCTTAATAAATCATTTTATAGGCTACACTTGATGGCAGAATTTAGTGTTTTGCTACAAAATTTGTTCAATGATATGCACTGCCTTAATATATATTTGATTTGATTTTAAACAAGACAACATTTCTAGTTAACTGTTAGAACTGCTAATGTTTAAAAGACTAACTTTCCTTTGTTCTGTTTCTTCAGAATGTGAAGGCTGTTTTTGATGCTGCAATAAAAGTAGCTGTGAGGCCACCAAAACCAAAGAGAAAGCCTCAGAAGAGAAGATCATGTACTTTCCTTTGAAACTCAACTACAGTAAAATACTTATCAAAAACTGTCTGCCGATAAATGCTATCTGCTATACTTTCTAATATATATTTTTTTCCATAAATTTCAATAAAGGTGGTTCATTTTAATCCTATTTGTCATAGCTAGCTTTTCAAATGCGAGAGCCTCTTTACAGTTGTCTGAGTTATAGCTTAGATTGCAATTCAATGGAAGAACATTTGCTTGCTTTCACAATGGAGTACTCCAACTGTTTACAAGCGGTTGGTGGTCTACCTCAACATCATTTCAGCTCCAACCATACACTTGAAAATTTTCCTAATTAAACAACCATGATAATCAATGTTCAAGCTTGTTAAGTTACTTTATTTGATAATAAATTCTTTGTTTTTTTTCCAAGACACTATGTTAATATTACAACAATCGCTAATGCATCCCTAATCAGGTTGATTAAAAAGTGAACCATTTGTGAATCCATAACTTAACTCAGTTGGTTCATGCTGCCACTCTTAAAGAGATAGTATCCAACATGTTTAAGGTTCAAATTTCAATACCTGAATCCTTTTTCTATATCTTTAGATTATGGTATTTTTTATATATAAAAAAAAAAACTATTTGTGCTAAATAAAACCATATGGAGCCTAATTAATATGTCACTCTTCTTTGCTGCAAGACCAAGAAATTTGAGTTTGATGTTCAAGTTAAAGAGTTTGAGATCCGCCTAACATGCCCTTTGAACCATGCAAAATTTGCAGAATATGCAAACAAGGAGTTCAGGTAATTGCGCATATTCACCAATAACTATATCCCTTGGTCTAAAGTGTAAACATATTTATTTCTTCTTCTCAGAATCCAAAAATGTTTGACCCTGTTAAATCCTAGTTTCTAATGAATTAGTTCAAACCAATTTATTGATGATCCAGTTGTAGACACGCCACCCTTTCCCCCAGATTGTCAAAGTGGGGAAAACCATATGTTTAAAGCACAGTCATCAGAACTAATCAAAGTCATAGTTCTTAAAGGCCATTGCTATTGACTTTTTTTCTCTAGGATAGTTATACTTTGAATGCGATCAGTACAAAGTTGCCACGAACAAAAGTGCCATGTCATGTGAACAACAGCCGTTGGAGTTGAAAATTCATAGGCTCTCTTTTCCATCCTTCTCTCTTTGGAAAGGTGGGTCAATTACTTTAATTACTTTTAAATTAACTGTTCTTTGGAAATCTTTTTACAATGTTCCCTTTTATGAGACAAGTACAAAGAAAGATCCTCTATTCAATAAGAATATATTTTAAACACTAATAAATATTTTTAATTTTCAAGTACAAAACATTTCGTAGGAAATACAATAATATTCCAAATCTATTCTTTCAATTCAGCACAAGCATTTGACATTCCTAGCTAGTTTTGGAGTTATGATTTAATTTATGATATGAACATATTGTATATATTTGTGCATAGTTAATTATTTAGTAGGGTCAATGAAAAACTAATCCAGTTCGAATGGAGTTTGGGAACTTCTCAATTTCCCAAAAGGATGTACCCATGATTCACGGATTAAACTATATATAATTAAGCCATAACCAGTTTTAGAGGTTTAATTTTCTTTGTCATTGATAAGCAAAACAGGGAATGGAAAAATCAAATATCAAATTGTCTGCCCAAGAAAGAGAAAACGATATTCATAGCTCTCATTTATAATCTCTCCAAAAAATTTGATCTAAGACAAAGTAGTTGTTTGAAATAAAAAATTTAATTCAGTTCGCTTATATAATTATTTTTAAAAAGTTATATCCATTAAATTTGAAGTTCAAATTACAATACCTACATTATTTTTTTATTTCTAAATTATGATCTTTTGTAAAAAAATAAAGGTTGTTTGCATATATATAGTATGGGTATGTTTGGTTCCATTAAATTTCATTTTAGAGATCATATATAGAAGGTCCACGAGTAAAAAACCTCTAAAAGCTTGTCTTTTTTTTTTTTTTTGAATTCAAATGCCAATGAAGTTTTAATTAAAAGAGGTTTTGCTTATGAATAAAGAGCTAACACCTGAAATCATTGCAATTCATGAGCAAGCAACCTAGAAATCTCATATAGGAAGAAATACCAAAACAAAATGTTCATAGTATGTCTTTTTTAATTAATGAGAGAATGAAGCAGTCCACCAATGGATAATTTCCAAACAATAACATTACTATCAAATCCTCCCCCAAATTTTCTGTGCCATAGATAAATTCATAAGAGCAGAAAGAGCCTCAGTCTGAAATTTTTGTTCAACAGTATTGGAATATTATATGATGGTTTGCATGTGCACCCAAATTTAGGCATTTAAGCTTTATCCATGTAGAGTATTTACTACAAGCACGTTTGCATTAAGTGACTGCTATCTTTAGCGCATTTCTAGCTAAAACACACACATACAAATACCCATTTTTATGTTGCCTTTGCTTTGCCCTTGATTGATTAAATTCCAGCAACATTTATTGTAATCATGTGCATCCAACTTCTGCTTCTTTTTTTTATTTAAAAATTAACTGAAATTAATTTGTTCAGAGTTTTGCTCTTTAATTTATTGTGATGCATTCATGTTGAAAAGGGGTATCAGAAATAAATTAAGGATTTTAATTCATCAAAATTGGTAGGACCAGAAAAGATAAAAGATGAGCAGAACGGGAAAGTGACACAAAAACAGAAAAAAGTCTAATAAATGAATAGTAGCAAATTAGCAATGCACGGAATTGCAGCAGAGATCCCCTCACCCCCCATCCCCAGAGGCCATGGTCCTGCAAAGATCATTTATAAAGAGGAGGGGAAGGGACGGGCAGGGAGGAAAAGGCCTACTGCGTAAAGGGTAGGGTTCACTTTCGCATGACTCTCATTCAATCATCGTAATTAACAAAGCCAAAAGCCCTACACAGGTACGTTTGCAAAGGCAGCGACATAAAGGCCAAAGTGCCAAAACTAATACTTTCCCATGCACAGTACTCGTCTACTTCTACTTCAGTTTTTTGCTAAAGACCTTTGATGGGATCGTCTTCTGCAATTTCTGTAAGCCTTCTTGTCTGTCTCCCCCTAACAGGGAGCAAGAAAGACTTATTATTATACAAACAGGCCATGGTCCCATATCTTCCTTGTGTCAGAGCTTGCAAGTGGGGGATTTTATCTTCTGCAACTCTTATCGCATGTATATATAAGTTTCACTTTTCTAAGCCTAATAATCTATAGCATTAGAATTTTTGGAATCTACTCAATAATGGGTCTGAAAGTAGTGCTAGCACTGTTATTTGTAATTGATAGCTTATGCTAGCATTAGGAAATAAGAATTATGATATCATGTACTAAAGAAGGGTATTAATTCAATTTAAAACCAATAAATTCAAAAAAAAAAAAACTTGGAATTGTTTTAAAGTGAGAGGTGAGATCGCAAGCACCGAAGCTTGCCGCAAATTTTTCACGTTGGAATGGGACAGACACCGCGTAGACCCAAAATCTCCAGACAACTAATCCTACCCTCTGTCCCTCTTTAACTCCCTCTCAGTCTCTGCATGGGAAGCGGAGGATATCTGTATTTCTATTTTTCTTTGTTGCTTTGGTCATCTTTTTACGAGTCATAACTACAAAATAAAAATGAAGATGCTAGCCCTCTTTCGTAGCCAAGAAAACAGGATGGTCTGCTTCCCATTATTGTCCCATAAATTCCCTCAAATCTTATATCGAGAGGTATTCTTATAAGGCTTAAGGATTGTCCCATAAACATGTGAGTCCGACACATAAGGTATTGCATGGGCCGCACCGTACACTAGTTATGATTTTCTATCTTTACAATCATGGTTTTGTTGGGTTTTGGCATTAATATTATAGTCTATTAATTATACTATATAAAATGAGCTTAGCAGTTTTAATGATTTTGTTCACATAGTCTAATAAGCTACCAAATTAATAATTTTACTATATAATATTGGTCTCACTCAACAATACACTAGATGGGAGCAAAAAAATTTTGTGTTTTTTTAAGATTTTTTTTTCAAATAATTAATCTGAGGCTGGTTTGTTCTGTTGCAAGCATAAAAAATTTGACCAATAGTACTCTTTAACATTTTTCTTGGAATGAGAAGTGCTGGTGATGAATTGATCACTTAACTTTCAACATTTTTGTATCTATGATTATCAAATACATAAAGGTAATAATATAAATATATATTCATAAAAAAAAAAAAGTGCCGGTATTGTGATTTTCTGATACAGAGAGATTTGATAATTGATATATGAATATTTTCACTAAAGGCATAACAACAGATAAGTCAAATTATCCAGGTTGTAAAATTCTATCTGATAAAAATACCAATGACTCTGGAAAGACTTTCAATCCTGCTAACATCTCATACTGATTAAGAAAACAAGAGAATTTCGAGGATGGCAATGGAGTACAGCCAGCCATCACCAGTACGAACCAACATCAACCTATGTGCATGCAAATGCAATGTCCTTTGCATAAGTGCACAAATGTTTTGCCCTGTTTACAGTATAATTTTGGAACTGCTCAATTTAATTCAATATGAATGGACAAATAAATTCACTTCAATTCAACAGAAAAAAAAAAAAAGAAAAAAAAACTATGCGAATAAACAATAAACAAGGCCCTCGAGTCAATCCAAGCCCCACTTACTTTGCCCAAAATAAAGCAGACCTTGTGAAGTTGCAATTACTATCCCACCAATTGATTCCCATTATCAAAGTATCAAACCCTACATGCCCTTCTCGACTTTCAAACACCCCACGCCCCCTATTTATTCTTGCAACAACCTTTTCCATTAGAATAATCCAACACTTATATCTGCCCCTACACCCTTCCATTAATACATTGCAAGATAAAACCGAAGAGAGCAATAGAATCCTCTCTCTCCATAGACAACTGAAAAAGAAAATAGAGACAAGGTGATCAGAACAACCCATTTCTCTAAAGCAAAAAACAAACCCTCTTTTCTCTATCCACTCTTTGGAGTTACAAACCTTACTCACGTCACTTCTCGTTTGCATGAAGAGCTTTCTCTGTCACCTCTGATGAAGATTCTAATTAAACACCAGCAAGTATTCTTACCCATGTTTCCTTTGCTTCTAGTCTGGGGGAATTGGCTTGTACTTTGAGTAGAAAAGAAGTATTTCAGTTTTAATGTAAAATTGTAAGGAAAGGTTGGACGAGTACTTTCAATCTTCCCCTTTTCATTTATTTAAATTCCATTTTTGTTTGTCTTTCAGCAGGGGATTCCTGTTGTGGATTTTGCCTGTTATATAGTTATTTATAAAAAAAAAAATCATTTTTATATTTTCTTTGGGAAATGGGAATGACTGTTCATTTAATTAAGAGAAAATTATCACAAGGGTAGGTGAGGAGGCCATAAGAAGAGATGTTACGTTTGCCTAGTGCAAAGCAGTTCCAAAAACTAGAATAACAAAAGGGCAGTTGTATTTCTTGTTTCTCTTTTGGTTGCTGGCTATTTTAGATTAGAGATATCTAACTTAGATTTTGGCCACTATCATCAGCATCTTCATCATCATGGCTTCGTCAAACAGACACTGGCCTAGCATGTTCAAATCCAAGCCTTGCAACACTCACCACCAATGGCAGAGTGACATCAACCCATCTCTCATGTCAAGAGCCCCTTACACCTCAGGTAAATGATACAATTATCAGTAGCAATGAGAACATTTATTCTGTGTTCTTGTTCTCTTCTATACTCAATGGTTGCCAGAACCATTTTCATGCTTGAATAAGGGCCAGCTATAGTCATCTAGCTCACCTGAACTCCTTCATACTTTAGGCATCTCGAATTTGTAAGTTCCCATATAAATAAGTCGTCACTTATCTCATTAATTTGCTCCTTTAAACTGATAATCTTTTACAGTATTACTTGATAATTTTATGTTGAATGGCATGACCCTAATTAAGAAAGAAATGGATTATTATAATGTGTTGTTTGAATTCTTTTCAATTGTATGATAATTTCATCTGCAACAGTTGCAGGATGTGAAGAGCGTAGTCCTGAGCCTAAACCAAGATGGAACCCGAAACCTGAACAAATTCGCATACTGGAAGCCATATTCAACTCCGGAATGGTTAACCCACCAAGGGATGAGATAAGGAAAATCAGAGCTCAATTGCAGGAGTATGGCCAAGTAGGTGATGCCAATGTGTTTTACTGGTTCCAAAACAGAAAATCAAGAAGCAAACACAAGCTGCGCAACATTGAAAACTCTAAACAACAGCCCCTACAAAATCAACAAGCCCAGGAAACTCCTCCAATCACCAATATTACCACCATCACTGCACCTTCCTCTTCATCATCCTCATCCGAGAAATCTTCACCAAAAGGAGCTAAAAGGAGTACTCTCTCTTTGAGTTCTCCAAATGTCATCGATGTTTCCAACTCTCCAACTGCTTCTATGAACCAGACCTACTTTCATCAGCCTCAAAACGAGTTCTTGAACGAACCTTTTTTCTTTCCTGCGCAACAGGCCACTGCAGGCGCCGGATTTACACAAGGGTTGGGCTTCTCTGAGCTAACCAATGTTATTCAAGTTCCTGAACAACCAGTTGGACCCTGTACAAATCTATTGTTGAGTGAGATATTGAGCCATGGGTCTTCAAGGAAAGAACATGAAGAAAAGATGAAGATGCAGCTTCAGCTTAGTTACACTGTCACCACTGCTCCCAGTACTCACACTATTGCTCCTCCTAATGCTTCCACCAGTGCTACAATTACTGTTCCATTAAATCACCACATTCAAGGTAAAAAATTTCAATAATTTTCTTTATTCTTCTAATATTAGGGATGTTATTAGCTGATTTGTCTTTATTAATAGAAAAGGTTATATAAGAATATATACACCAACATTTCATGGGCCTGCTAATGGATGTATCAAAATTTTTGCACACGAGGGTAGAATATTTTGGTCATTCGTGGTAGAGAATGAGGATAAAAGTGTCATTTAGGATGGGGATTTGCGATCATTGCCTGTAGATGGACGTGTGCATGGCTTGTTCTCTCTGGAATTGACTACTGCATTGGTGTTAAATATACTTATATGTTGAGTGATTCCCTGTTGGCAGGTGGTGTGGAATCTGGTGCAGTGGGTCCTGTAGGTGCGTCTAGATCGACGGTGTTTATCAATGATGTAGCCTTTGAGGTGGCCGTGGGGCCATTCAACGTGCGGGAGGCCTTTGGCGATGATGCAATCCTGATCAACTCCGCTGGTCAACCTGTTCTCACGAACGAGTGGGGGGTAACCCTTCAGTCTCTTCAGCATGGTGGATTTTACTATCTGGTGCGCTCATTAAGCCCCTTCGCCGCATAATGAAGGTGACAAACTTTGGAAAACCTGCCCTAAATTTTTTTACTGTTATAAAATTGAAAGATATACTTATATATAGTATAATGTGTATGACAGCTTGTTATTCAAAGAAGATGAAGGTCCTTCTTCTCGTGTAAACACTGGAAGTTTTTATTGCTTACCAATTAAATTTGTTGATTAGTGTGTTTTTCTTGAATTGCAGAGTTAGAAACATGTGAAAATGGATGACATAGGCTGACACCGCTGGTCTCTTCCTCGTTTCTTTCTGATCTCAAGGTTGAAATTTAGCTTTAGCTCTAGCTTTAGCTGTAGTCCTCAGGACACTAAGTTAGTACGGCTGTGATTTGTAATAGTATGAAAACTTTCTGGACCAAAACGTGTTCTCTAATTTCTTGTTAAGGCATATATATGAAATATGCTATTCTAATTTTAATATGTGCAAGAAACATTAACTTGTCTACAAAAACACTTATTAAAACCCTACTGTATATAACTAATATAATTTCATGATCATTTTTTTGGTGTGGATAATTAAGCATATTACATTAATTCAACTATGTGAATTGTGAAGTCATTCTCTCATAAACATCATAAGCACATGCCGTTTTGCATTTTACTTTCTCATTATTTTTAATAAACTGAAGCTAAAACTCTTTTTTTTTTTTTTCATATTATATATTTGACACTCAGAAATTTAGCCACCTTAATAGCTCAAACAATTGAAGGTGGATTTTCGATTGATGATTTATAACGTTTTAATTTACTATATTTAGGGTTAGAGTACTTTTCCGATCTAAAATGAACCAATTTGGGTTTTTCTTTTCCAAGATATACCACTCGGCAAGAAAATGTCAATGGAGGGCAGCTATATTTCATTTCATGCATGCAAGACTGTTCAGTGCTATATATATTATTTGAAATTTGAAATTTGAAACATTGATTAATTACTGATCAACAAGGCCTATTAATTAATTATGCAGTGACGATTGAGTTTAATTTATGAAGGAGGCTTTGAAAATTCGATATTAACTTTAGAAAAAGATGTTCAAAGAGAAAATAGATTGAGAGAATCAATGATATTGATAAGTAATCAAATATTTTGTCCCTATGTTCCATAGGCCTCTAAATTTGTCTTACTTGTACACGATAAAGTTTGCAAAAGACCTTTCCACTTTGTCCATATGTAATTCAGAAATAGGGTTTTACTTAGGATTCACCCAACATCAAACAACCCATTCAAAGCCCACCTGTTATGTTAGAGCGACGAAAATCATTGTTTCAAACCATTTTCTCACACGATTCTGAAGGACTGAAACCCTGCCACCCAAAAATGGTTGGTCGGCCAGGTCTGCAAACATTTCCTGTTGTTTTTCGTATTGCAACTATGAGCTATGGCTATGATCTGAAGCCTGATGAGTGGTTAAAGGAGGGAGTCAATATTGGTGTTGAGTGGTTCAGATTTTTGACGTGCACTCTGGTGAGAACAGTGTATGATTCCCTCTCTTTAGCCCCCACACTTTCGATTTGACAAAGCGAATTGGATATGTCAAAAAGGAAATTCCTCTCCTTTTCCAGCTCCTTCCACCCCGCTATGTCACATTTCAAAAAAGTCACTGTCTTTTTTGCATGAACCATCACCAATGATAATCATGACACCTCCCGACCCCAAAAATCAAAATAACTTGGATTCCAAAGTGGAATATGGAGAAAGAGACAATGGCTTTTACCTGGAGGTTCCAGGGGCTGAGAAATGGGAGATCTGTCATGAACATGACACGTGGCGTAAGCGGAGTGGTCAGGTTTTTCCATACATGGCCACACGAGGGAATTGGTGTGTCAACAGTAGGTTTGATTGGATAGTTCTGCTGTTTTGAGCAGAGGACTTAATTTTGTCCAAGCACATTGCAAAGTGGAAACAAAACAAAGATCGGTACGCTGCTGCTAAGCTAGGCAGGCTCTCCATTCGCCATGAAAAGTACGTAATGGGTCACAAAACATGACGTTTCAGCTTGCATATAAGACAAAGATTAGATTGCAGTTCTCAATCATGAAAAACTTTTTCTCTGTCCAAGTCTTCAAGATGATTCAAGTTTTCTTTCTTTGATAAATGGCAGATTCAAAAATTTTTGGTAGAAAACGAAAGAAAAATTCATTTATTCTATGATATTTATTAATCAGGGTCATCCGTGCATGTGTTCTGATTTATAGGTTAACAAATAAGAAAGTTGGAACTTAGAAATGAGTTTCTCTTTCAGCAAAATCTGAAAAAAAAAATTATTTATTTGTTTTCATCATAACATTTGCAGTACTGATTCTTCAAATTAAAGCATTTAAAAAAATAGCTTGTTTGATTTTGGTTATGGCCTAATTCTTTCGATGGCCCATTGGGCTTAACACGATTGCATTTGGCAGTACATTACAGACCAACCCAATCTTGCTTGTGGGGTTTCTCCCTTTTGTCTTATTTATTTGATTAAGTGGGATTTTGGATTTCATCGTAATTTTAATGTAATTTAATTGAATTTATTATATTATCAATTAATTTAAATGTTAATAGCAGTAAGATTCATTCAATAAATTTTTTTATAATTTTTTTAATTACAATTACAATAATTTTTTTAATTATAATTATAATAATTTTTATTACTATTTTTATTTTTATCGAAACTAATTTCATTGTCTATTCAAATAAATCCTAAATGTATTATAAATATCAATCATTTTTTTCATTCGATATTAAACAATTTATGTTCACAAGGAATAAAAAAAAATTTAGGACATTATTAGGTATGTTGTTGTTGCAATCATTCACTATGGCTGCTTCCTATGTTTAGTGGAATTGATGATAATTAATTCATGCCACCAAAGTTGGATCTTGATTTGTTTCTTTTCCTTTTCCCATTCCTTACTCTTTCATGATTTTACAGAAAGGCAGTTAGTTATAACAAAAATATCTAAACCATTTAAGAAACCAACAAATTTTTTAATATATAAATATACATATAATGTCATACAATTCCAAAATTTTTCTTTTTTTTTTTTAATTTTTAAATCCTTTTACATAGTTTGACATTGTTCCAAATCCCACAATGCTAGTATGCTAATTGAATTTATATATCAATTTTGATGAGATTCATTCAATATAATTATTTTTATAATTTTTTAATTATAATTATAATTATTTTTATTTTTATCAAAATTAATCATAATATCTATTCAAATAGGATTGACAACCCAATTCAAGTCCGATTGTTCCAATCCAATCCAACCTCATAAGATCAATTTTTTTTTTTAAATCGGGTTTCGGATTAGATCGGATATTATTAAAAAAAAATCAAGTCAGGTTTAGTTCGAGTTTTAAATAAATCCAATTAAATCCAACCTAACCCAACCTAATATTATATTAAAAATTATTTTTTAATTTTTAATTTATATATAATTATATAATTATATATTTATATTTAAAATAATAATATTTTATATTTTAAAAAATAATATTTTATTAATTTTAGATCATATCGAGTCGGGTATGATTTATACAAATATCGAGTCGAATCAGATTGCGTTCGAGTATAAAAAATTAAAAAAAATTTTAAACCAAATCGAATTCAAATTTTATGATTATAAAATTAGATCAAATTTAATATGAATAAAAATTCGTTCAAACCCGATCTATTACCAAACCTACATTCAAATATATTCTTAATTAATTTCGTGTACATGTACCATACTCTTTTTTAATGTGAAATTATGAGAAACCCTGTTACCCAAACAAACTTTTTTCCAAAATCTCGTGAAAAGAGGTTAATTGTGGTTAACCGACCACCAGCCAATATAATCATAGCCATTTGCCAACTAAAAGACTTGAAGCTTTTAGCCGTTTCTTTTTTTTCTTCAGACCATCCCAAACCCAGAACCAAAACCAATGCTACCCAAATAACAAGAAAAAAAAAAAATGAAAAACGCGTTTCTTTTTTGTTTTTATTTTCCTTTTTACGTAATTTGAAGCAAATCAAAGACAACATCGGACGACAAAGAACAAGAACAAGACAAGAAGAGAAAGGAAAGAAAGAAACAAGATTAGGAGAGAAATGGGAGCTTACAGGGCGGATGATGACTACGATTACTTGTTTAAGGTTGTCCTGATCGGTGACTCTGGTGTTGGAAAATCCAACCTTTTGTCTAGATTTACAAGAAACGAGTTTAGCCTTGAATCTAAGTCTACTATTGGGGTTGAGTTTGCCACCCGTAGCATTCATGTTGATGATAAGGTTGTTAAAGCTCAGATTTGGGACACTGCTGGACAGGAAAGGTATTTGTTGTTTGCCATTCTTTTCTGGGGTGCAGATCTTGATCTGGGTTTTATGATTTACGCTTTATTTTTGCTTAATTTGAGGGTTCGTATCCTTTTTTGGTGTTATCTGAATGTTGGTATTTCACAAAATTGGAAATTTATGAGATTCAGTTCCTGCAAATGATTAAATTATTTACTGTTTTTGGTAATTCTACACTTATGGGATTTCAATTGGAAATAATAGATTGCTTTGTTAAACAAAATTGCTTGCTTGTCTATTCATTCTTGTCATCGTATTGAATTTTGGTGGAATAGAACTTGGCTAGCACACTGTATTTGCTTGAATTGTGGATTTGTAATGTCTATGTCACCCATAATAGGAAACTGGTCCTTCTATTGTAATGTGGTTGCCTGCTTTATGTTGTGTATTGAGAGCCACTTCTTTGTTTCATTGCTGGAGTGATACTTAGTGAAATTGGCATTTAAATTTTGTTTCAATTTGGCCTTTTTCTACTATCTAACTTATATGGATCTATAATGCATATTGGTTCCTATATCCAATATAGAAAGGAACTTCTCTCTGTTCTTTTATCTTCATTTAATTATGATCTATCATCATGAATTCCTGACAGCATAATGTTCATAAATAAGACCAACTATTACTGCTATGGGGGTTAAGAAGGATGGAAGAGAGATTCTATGATTCCTAATTTTCTTTCTCTGTGCCTTATCCAGCTGCCTTTACTCTTGAAGGTTGAATTTATACTTACAAGTGTTGGAGAGTGACATTTAATGTATTAATCCTGGCTTACCAAAGAAGACAGAAAAGAGAGCATTTTTATACAATTCCCTGCAGTATGATATGACTGATTTTTCTTTTTTGAATCACCCTTTTACAATTATCTTCAAGATTTTTTTTTTTTCTGAATTTGTTGCAAATCATGAAGTTTTAAGGCTGTTCATCTAATCTCTCTGTCAACTCTGTTTTGCCAAAGATATCGTGCAATAACCAGTGCGTATTACCGTGGTGCTGTTGGTGCTTTACTAGTCTACGATGTCACCCGTCATGTTACGTTTGAAAATGTAGAAAGGTGGTTGAAGGAACTTAGAGATCACACCGATGCCAACATTGTGATTATGCTAGTTGGGAACAAGGCAGACCTGCGTCACTTGCGAGCAGTTTCCACTGAAGATGCCAAAGCTTTTGCTGAACGAGAGAACACCTTTTTCATGGAAACATCTGCATTGGAGTCTCTGAATGTTGAGAATGCCTTCACGGAAGTTCTGACCCAGATTTATCATGTTGTAAGCAGGAAAGCTCTTGATATTGGTGATGACCCAGCAGCTTTGCCCAAAGGCCAGACGATCAGTGTTGGATCTAAAGACGATGTATCAGCCGTTAAGCAAGTTGGATGTTGTTCAGCTTAATCCTGGAGGAATCTAAAGATATTTTTCTTTGAAATTTATGCCTTTGTTCATAGCTACATAGAAGTTTCCCTGACAGCACAAAAAGGCGAACATCAACAATGTATTAACCAGTTGACTTTGTGCTTTGGATCATGCTAAACACAACTCATCTATGTTAGCTTGAACTCAAGGACTAGAGATTAATGGTTTTGTGTTGTTTTTCTTTGTTAATTTCAAACATTTTGCTTTTGTTTCCCTCTTTGTTCATTGGTTTAAGTGCTAAACCATCTTAGTTTTATATGAAGTTCAGTTTGTTTCGAATCATTTCCTGATGATTGGCTTTTGATGGAACGCCAAAATAACATGCTTAGAGCGTTTGATGGTAGGCGTTTTATATGATATTGGAAATCAAAGCTCCTCATATAGTATCTTGTTTGATCGTTACATGCCAGTTACTCTTATTCATCTTCGTGATTGATTAAAACTAGGCTCCTTTGACATTTTTGGATGCATATGATGATGATTCCTATCATATTATTTGCCATAGTTTCACAAGAAATGAAACCGGTTGATCTCCTGGTTTAGCCACACGGCTGATTTGCTTGAACCAATTACAGGGCATGTTGAGGAGGCATAGCCCTCTGAAGAAGGGCGTTGTTTTGAAGACTTGGCTTGAAGTTTTGTTAAGACATTTTTGTTTTTCAACAGGGAAGTAGGTAACATCGTTCTTGACTATAAACTCCGCAGAAATTAAACAGACCCTTTTCTCTGCATGGTCGATCTTTTTCTCTTAAAAAAGGAATGAGAAGAAAGACACCATGAAAAAAAAAACCAGTTCAAAACGGTGAGGTTGGCAGGCCGGCGGCAAGAGAACAGATAAATATCTTTAGAAAAATTTATACCATACTCCGTAAGATAATAGAGCAACTGTGAACAAGACGAGTGGCTTAAAGAAAACAAATTCTAAGGACTCCATTTTTCTTTAAGATGCGGTCACACTTAGCGTAAGTGAATCAGAACAGCAGCTTTTAGCGGCTTTTCTTCCAGGTCAACATGGCCTCTCCAACAGGAAGTTCATTCTGGATCAACAGTCGAAAAAAGAAGCATATCTATCCACTGTCTAGAAAGAAACAACTAGGCAAATTTCAGAACTATGAACAATTATAGTACGGACAACACAGCAGTAAAATGCATGTTCTTTTAGCAAAGTCACAAAATATTGCTTTTGAGTTTTGACCAATTTTTAGGTGGATTATCTCTGAAATAAACCAAATATCATTGCAGCAAAACAGTAGTGGAAGCATATAATACTATCAAAACGAAAGCAGGCTGAATTTTTTTGCAAGTTCTGCATTCTTGAAGTTTGAAATGCTAATTCTTATTCAATAAATGATATAAAAAGGAATTCTGCATTCTAATTCCAATTTAAAAACTATAAAAAGGAATCCCATGAGCGTGAATAAATCAATTATATTCAGAGTTCAAACAAAAATAGAAAAGAAATCTAATTCAAGCGCTGCAATTATCAAATCAAACACCCAACACGAAAAGAGATATCAAGTAAACTAAAACTGACCGAAAATTTGATGAAGCATCGAAGATCACTATTTATTATCATTTTTGTCAGGATCAGACTTGAAAGAGGGAAGAGGATTAGAGCCCTTAATGCTCCAACCAAGGGCAAAAAACGATACCCCAGCCAGAATTGCCGTGCCCCACGCGTGAGAGTACCATTTACTGTATTGCCTGATGGCATACCTCCATTGATCTCTCAGTGTAGCCGGGTCCGGGTTTGTTAGGTAGGGTGGGTTCGGGTAACGGACCTTTTCTTGACCAGAGAAACCAGAGGCCATGTTATTGCCGACTTCTGGGATTGATTTAGAAAAGGAAGAAGGAGGAGGAGGCAGGTTTTGAGGAGGTTCGGGCTTTTTGTGCTCTGACACTTTATTAGTACTTACGGCCGCTGAACTTCGAGTTCAAGAGCAAATCTTTGTTTGAAACAAGAAAGGCTCAAGAAAGACTTTTCTAACAGTTCGACGTTTTCAATGTAAACTGTATATTTGGGCAAACGTGGCGATACGCAGACGATTCCCTTTACTAGAACCTTTTCTTCCTTTTCTTTTCATTTTTTTTTATTCGTTTCGGTATCATAATAAAGAGAACAATATTTTTGGTGATTTTAATTGTCAGCTCGCCCAGAGGAAATGCACAATCTTTTCTTCAATACACTTCAAGCCAAATCTGTTTCTCCTTGCAGGCTTGAGCATTGAGGCCCCCATTTTCGTTTTCTCTTATTAAAATAGAAAATCCAGCCACATTAAAATGCCAACAAGTTCAGACTCAGAGCAGCAACACTTCCCTCCAGTTCAAGGCAGGATAAAGAGTGTTCCCTGCCTTTCCCCAATCCCTGAGTTTCTACTTTGACAATGAATATCCCATAACAGCCGGTAAAATTAGCAGAGCATAATTAATCTATTTAATTCAAAAACCACAACGGAATTATCAAATTATGTGCCACCAAATGGGAAAAAATTATGTCTGTGTAATAAGCAACACTTTGAAAATAACAAATCTTTTAATGAAAACCATATATTAGATAAACTGTAGAGAGCACATATTTCTTCTACTAAAGGAAACACTTGTTGTGTATGAAGCTTTGTTGGAAAGTCATTTACGAGCTTCAACCTTCTTCTGCTCCCTGGCTGAAACAATTAAATATGAATGTTCATCAATTTCTAAGTGTCTAATACCAGAAAACAAGTTAACAAATAATCATGGCGGCTCCAAAATCTTACCAGCTTTTTCCTCTTCTCGTTTTCTAGCAGCTTCTTCTCGCTGTTGACGTGTAAGGGATAGACGCTCTGTATCACAGTAAAATTCAAAATAACTCTCTTTCTTTTGTTTTTCATTTGAAGGGAAAAATGGCAGTATACAAAGCAGAATCAACAAGATTGAGTTATAAAATAATGTCTCTAACCATCATACAAAGCAGGATCACAAGATTGTGTTATAAAAATTTTCCAGTGAACAGTGGTGGTTAGGTGTATATAGACCATTGTGCTTGTAAGTTAGGATGCACAAAGCGACCTGGCATGATTAAGATTTTAAAAGCATTCAGCTTGTCCATTCTATCACAGGCAAATATATCTCCTGAGTCTAATGTACAATCATTGCAGCCCTTTAGGACTTTTAACCCACAGGAACAGTTCCCTAAAATGTTACCAAAGAGACAAAGCAAAAGTCGAGTAAGCCCTAAACTGAAGTAGGTAGAGGCAGGGAATCATCAGTTGCAAGATAAAATGATGATTTCGATCGTAAGTAAATTCTTTTTATATATGTCAAGAAGTAATCTGAAGTATGTGTAGTTATGCTTACCACCTTAAATGTTCAAAATAGTATAGCCACAGAGGTTCTGCAGCTTAGACCATTTTTTATTGAAATCTGATAGGAGAAGTAAGTAATGCAGGTATGTTTGACATGAGGTATAGTGATATTAATTAGCTTACCCAAATCCTTCCTTGCTTGTTCTGTTTTACCTTGCTCTTGCAGCCTGATATATCGTTCATGGGCTCTCTGCTTTTCTAATTCCTCCCTACAAACAAAGAGAGGTATAAGATGAAAGCATTCACACAAGAAACATACAAAAACATACAAAGTTTTAGCTAAAGACAGAATAATGGATCCAAACAACAAACAATGAGTAAAAGGTATCCAAAGTAGAATTTAAAAGGAAAATGATAGGAGCATTTACAAACCTTTCACGCCTTGATAGTTCATTGGTTTTCCCAGTCTGCACATGACAGAGAGGAAAAAAAATCAAACATAAAATAAAGCATCAGTTATAAAACATACAATCACTGAAACAATTTATAGAAGATGTCATGAAACTTACATCAGCATCTCTAGCTTTCAAGTTCTTTGGCTTCACCCGATTAGGATTGTTGATCTCGATAATACCTTGAGTTACCTTGTGCTTTTGCTATTGGTTGGCAATGAGAAATAAATACAGATTTCATTAGTCATTCACAAAAATAACCCAACCCATATGCAAAAACGATTGGCATGCAATATATAAAACCCAATCAACTATATACTTACTTCAGTTTCACCATCAGATTCTTCTCCAGACTCCTGACCACATTCCTCAGATTCTTCCTCCTCTCTATATTCAGCTTCTTGTTAACAAAATTAAAGAGTAAAGAATCAGTTCTTATGCTGTTAAAACACCTATGCTCATACAAAGTGTCCATTGAGCACGTCTGTAAGAGAGAGCACCCGCTTAAATGTGCGAGGACGAGAAGAGGTACCAGCAACTGCAAACACAAAATCAGAAACGAAACAAGGTTCCATTCAGGCAGTGTGCTCACAAAATTGATTTAAGAATAAAGAGCATCAGTTAACCCTAACCCTAACTCAACAATGTTTCATTATCATCAGCAAATTCAATCTTTACTAGCAAGAATTAACCTAAATTTTACTCGAAGCAGACAACATGAATTAAAAAAAAAAAAAACTGTTCTACCTTTTTTCAGCCTCGTTTTATTCAATAAACCACGGGAAAAAATGCTCAAGCTGATCAAATTTTCTCAAATTGAAGTAACAGTTTTGCAAGTTCCACTGTCTTTGTCAAGCATTAAATTAAAGGCGTATACTTCCACAATTTCAAATAAAATCATAAAAGATCTGAAAATTCTACTTTTCCTCAAATTTTCTTGGGAAAATAAATCGAAACAAACATAAAAATAGAAAATTTTAGAAGAAGAATTCTTACGCATCTCTTCTGGAGTGGAGAAGTGGCGTTGCCCAGTGGGCTTTGCCTTGAATTTTCCTCTTCCCATTGTTAATAACAGAGACAAAGATAATCGCCAAACGAACACGAACGGTAGCTTTTCTAATCTTTAGAATAATTTTCCCAAGAGGAAAAAAACATAAAGTTTTGATATTTATTTTATTTCCTTTTATCCCTTGGAGTCGCTGATTCGAAGAACCCTAGTCTTCTCAACCCGTGCAGTTGTTTTTAGTGGCGTTGGGTTTTCTTCTGTGCGACTGATCGTATAGGAACCCTTCTTTTTCTATACTGGTGAAAAAAAAAACCCTCTATTTGTGATTGTCCGTTATGCGAATCTGAGGAGTACTTATACAGGGAGAATGATCCGACGGTGCTGGTGGATGTGAAACGTTGTGGGCTGCACTTTTCACTTTCAAAATTAATACCGAGTGAGTTGAGATTTTGGGAGGGTTTTTCATTTTGACAGTTGAGGGCAGGCGCATGTTAGCAAAATGGACACGTGGACTCTTTTGGGCTTGTTGGGTTTTTGGTTTAGGGGTTCGGAACAAATGCACGTTTCTGGGCTTCAACCTTTATCACAAAAACGCCGTCGTTTTTCTAACGTAAGCAGACCGCCTTAGAATACTATAAATAAAACAAGATAAATCCTCTATTTCTCCTTCGAAAAGCATCGAAAAAGTTAGGGTTTGCACTCTTCACGCGAATCGCAATCATACTCTGGTAAGTTTAATTATTCAATTTATTTTCCTCGCCTATGAAGTTTAAATTTTGTTATCCATCAGTTTTCAAATAAAATTATAATGTTTTTCTTCTTGGATAAATTTGGTGGATATTTTCATCGATCGGGTTGATTAGCCTTTGAAATCCGCCATAATTTTAATTTTTTATGTTTATTATTCTTAAGAAGAAAAGAAAATTAAAGAAAGGTTTAAACTTTTGTGAGGAATTTGAGAAAAGAGAAAATAGATTTGATTTTCCGCTTAACCTAATTATTTTATCCAAAAAAAAAAAATTAAAGCCTGAAATAATTAGTTAGGGTTTGAAGTGAAGAATCTGAGTTTTGGTAAGAAATTCTTTAAGTTTGTAGTAAATCTGAAATTGTTATGCTCACTTTGGTTGTGAATTGACATGTTTTAGGAATTGAAGTATGGGAAAGAGGAAATCAAGAGCAAAGCCTGCTCCTAAGAAGCGAATGGATAAGCTTGACACCGTTTTCAGTTGTCCCTTTTGTAACCATGGCACCAGTGTTGAATGCCGCCTGTAAGTGTAAACTTCTTATATTTGTTTATGAGAAATTTTACCCTTATTGGACTTAATAACTGATATAATTTTGAGGCAATTCTTTCTATTCAATGGTTGGCAAAGGAAAGCGTTGGTGTTTATGTAAGAACATTGAAATACATAGATTGCCCTCTAGCTAAAACCAGATTATCTTTTTATCTTTGATGAAGATAAAAGAGAAAACATGTATTATGTTAAAATTAATATCCTGTATCATAAGAAGTTATCTAAGATGTTATAGTTGTGTTTTGCTAAGTTTTAAGTTGGTGTTTATCTGTTCCAGTGATATGAAGAACTTGATTGGCGAAGCCTCTTGCAGGATATGCCAGGAAAGTTTCAGCACTGTTATAACAGGTACTTATGATGCTGTTAACTTTTGGCTGGTGAAGTTGAAATTTTTTTGTGGTTGTGATGAAAACTAAGTTGACAGTCATTTATTAACTCATCTGTGTTTCTTTTGTCTCTGTATTTGCAGCTTTGACTGAACCAATAGACATGTAAGTGCTATCAATCTGGTGTTTATTCTCTCTGTCTCTCACACGTGATCTCTCTTGTATATTTATTCTTCTTGTGACTTTCCAGATACAGTGAATGGATCGATGAATGTGAACGGGTTAACAACCTTGAAGATGATGGAGATCAGGATGAAGGTTTGATGCCTAGAAAACGGGTTTCAACGTCTGAGTGGGATTAGCAATAGCCAGGAATGCTCTAGAACTTCATAAGCCTGTAATTATGATAGTTCCCACAGGGAATCTGTGATGTGCCAGCATGCACATTTTAACAGCATCTTATGATGAATGGCTCAAGTGATCGATTGTATGGTAAGGGCTATTAGCTATTGTTTCAAGTTGTATGAACAAATTTATGTTGATGTAATGCAATATGAATGATGCTTTCCAGATTTAATTGGATAGGCCATGGGCTGATCACTGATGAGAAAATTTCCTAATTTTAAAGGGTTAAAATTAAAAATAGAAATTGTTTGCATGCTGCCGCTCATGATTGTGCAAAGTTATACAGTGTTATCTTCCAGGAATGCTGAAAGATGAGAGGATTTTCAATGGCAGGCGATGTTCAAATCATTTTTTATTGAATATCATATTTTCCAGTGCCCTATCCTCTGTATCAAACCTGCCCCACAAGAAAACAGCCGAAAATCTGGTATGAGTTAGCTGAATCCAAAATCATTTACAAGTTCTCAAGCATAGATCAAGCAATATAGACTTAAGAAATGTATTTGATTATATATCCGGTTACAGAACGTGACATCTTTAATGAGCGACTGGAATATTTAGCTCAAACTGTTGAAACCCTGGAAAATAATTAGCTTCTATTGTATACCATGTCTTATTAGGTAGTATCAAAGAGGGCTGATGAAAAACAGCCATTTCTCTTGCCTGTAACCGTCTCTGGCGTCGTTGATTGTCTAAAAGACTAATGCAGAACATCTGTGTGCAAATGAACTGTACAAGTTTTTGGCCATAAAATATAAGAGCTTGACTTGGTTTTCTAATCATGAAAACCTACAGAACAGACTAGTAAAAATGCAGAATATCCCACCACTTCTAAATAATTCAGCAGATATATAACTAGATGAATGGATGAAGCTACTTCAGCTTTTATCCAACTTTCTTCGACTATGTTAGATAATAACCACTTAAATTGTCAACAAGATAGTTGTACTGCACACCAAGCCCATAATTCAACTTCTCACTTGTTGCCACCACATTTGGAGTGGAATAAAGATTTCCAACACAAACCTTCGCGCTAATCTTGGCCCTTCCTTTGACATAGAGCTTGTTATCAGAAGGGAACTCTGCAGTAAGCCTTCCCATCTGCTTCTGCAGATAAGCAACCGTATCATTCGCTGATTGCCCCTTTGCACTTTTCTTACCATCAACAAGCTTCAATTCCAACCTATACAAGGCACAAACATCACACTTGTTGATTTCATATTCATAAAGGTGCCACTCGAAAGGGTTTAGTGGCTGTGGATCCATGTAGTATGATCTCTTCAGTCCTCCAAATTCATTCATGATTTGCTTTCTTGACTCATGCCAGCCACGCCCACTATAATCTGGCAAAGACCTCTGCTTTCTGTTCCCACTTTCAAATGCTCTTCTAGGCTTATCAAAAAACAGCCACTCCCTAATTGATTCACCGTCAAGAACCGAAAGATCAAAGAACTCTGCAATCACGGGAGAAAATTAATTAATTTCCCAAAAATCATAAAGAACATTGTGAATGATTAGAGAATATATTCTGTTCCCACTCATAAAAGTCGCCACTAGAACTGAGCAAAGCAAGATTGATAAGACATACCAGGAGCATTCCATGGAGACTTGGCAGTTGCAGCTCCCTCACATTCCGGTATACCCACATCTTTTCCTTCTGCCTTAGCACTGAGAGCAGCAAAGAGCAGACCGTCCTTGAGGCCTATGCCACAAGGTCGCAGAATCGGGCCCATTCCAGGTGAACCTTCATTCATTGCTAAAGCAGCATGAAAGCTACTACAGTAGTCCTGACACCAGTCCAATGCTTGAACAGGCCTTAGACAATCCCAAAGTGCACACTTTGGTCCTAAGAATGCAGATGGTGGGGGGCACATACTTGCAATATAGCTACAAGTATTAGGCATGGCATCCTCCTCACAAAAACCTGCACTGTTAAAACCTGTGTAGAAGTGCTCAAAATCTTGATGCAAATCAAACTGATTGTATTCCAATTGAGTAGCCGCTCGCAAATTGTTAATTGACATGGCAGGAAGTCCTAAAGGCGAGCCTTTGCAATGATCAACTAATGGAAACACACGTTCATGCTGCCCCTGATTCACTCCATAACCCTGTAAGAACATATTGATTATAAAACTTGACAGTGAATGTCTTTTTCAACATAATAAGATGCCAAAGAAAAGTGGAAACTGTTAACTACAAAACATTCATGAAATATAATTAAGAGAAAAAACAAAGGATACGAACTTATGCTCTCGGGAAAGATAACGTTTAATGCAAAAGCACAACAAGAAAAGGTAAATTTAAAGCCCCGGTAAGCTCAAATCAAGATCTAAGTACAAAAATACGCATAAAGCTGAAGAGGAAAGTACACATTAGCAATTAGTTACGCTATCCCTTCTAACAACATAAGGAAAAATTAATGAAACTTCTCAACCTTGCCACCTGCACAGCCCAGAAGCACACTCTAAGCATTCGGGCCCTTTTAGACAGAAGTTTGGTCCCCCTTATCTGCACACATGATAATTCTGTACTGAACCCCCCATTCCACATGACTACCTTGCCAGGCTCAGTCTTATCACCTTTGCCCGATAAAGTAAGATGGCAGCAAAGCAATTGATTTGATAGGTGCCTATAATACTAATATACAATATTGTCAACATCTTAATTAGCTCAATTTAGATTCTAGATGGCAATTTTAAAGGAATGATAATTTACCTCAGTTACACTGACATGACTTGCAAACTAAATTGTTAAAAAGAAGGATACAAAGGAGAAGTGTTCATTAAACAGAAAATAAGATAAGCAATTATTGGTGCTGTGAGAAATCTTAGAATGAAATATACTAGCTATGCCTGTCTTCCTATCCATTGAGTGTGCAATGAACGAAAATATTTAATGCTCTGGCCTCTTGAAAAATATCATATATCCTATCCTATCTTTCACAGCAACACCCACTTAATCTTAAGGAAACCAGTTCAAGATAACCAAACCTTATTTATCACAACTCTCATTAAAGCCCAACTAGAAGAGAATTGCAATCATATTATAGTAGCCTTCTCTACTCTGTAGCACCATTCCAGGAAAGAAGCAAATTAGAAACAATCATACGCAACATAATTTTTAATTGCTTATCTCATTTACCACATTCTAGAAACTAAAAAACAATCATGAACATAAAATTTAAACATATACAGTTCCAAATTCTGTATTTACAAAAGAATGCAACCAAACGCCTTCCAGGCTCCAGCAATAAAAAAATCTCATTCCTCAGGATGGACAACTTAACTTGAAGTTCATGTAGGCCTAAGCATACTCAACACACTTGTTTTCAGTCCAACCATCATGCAAATTCCAAAAGAAAATGAAAAGCAAAGGATCCAAGGACAAAGAGAAATCACCTCTTGAAAAGCAGCAGTATCTCCTACTTGCAGGCTTTGATCATTAGGCTCAGGCTTTGGTGCAGCAAGTACACTAGTTGCATCATCTTCCTCCTCGCAAAGCTGCAAAAGCTGATAAATGTCCGACGAAAATGAACCAAGACTCCCACCCTGTAAATCACCATGAAGATCACAATTCACTATCACACATTGTAGACAGTATTTTCAGTCCCTTGAGATTAAAACTGATAAGCATTTATCTTAGTTACATTCTGTAACCGCCAGACCAAACCCTACAAACCACATACAACCTATTAAAACACACATCCACACAAACTCACACTGATAAATTTATACAAGTCATTCAAATGAAATTTATATGTGCAGTGATAACTTGTTGCAATGAAGAAGCTGGAGAAGGTTCGTTGAGCTCGGCTTTCCATTCACGGAGCATCTGATGGACTTGCTCCTCAAGGACTGCAACATCAATGCTACGGCTCTCCTTCCTGGCAAACTGCAGATCCAAGAACATTCCCTGCAGGTCATCCACACGGTTTTTTGCCCTGTCCTTGAAGAGTTTGTGGGATGCTGACTTACAGTTGCTTTTTGAACCTTTCCCCATTAAAATAAACAGTCCTCAACGATTCCCACCAAAACCCTGCAATCCAAAGCGCAATAAAACACAATTTAAGACCAACCCAGACGAAAATTCAATCCAATAATCACTACTGTAATTCTTAAAATTTGTAACTAAATATCAGCTTACAACTAATAATAGTGGGGGAAAATCCATAAGGCTTATAACAAATTAAACTCCACACTTTCAAATCAAAGAAACTGAGATTGCCACAGTTATCTAACTCCCACAGTTATCTAACTCCCGTTAAAAAGAAACCAAGCTAGAAAATATTATTGAAATCATGGTTACTAAATTTACATCAAACCCATAAAACAAAAGTCTCATAAACAGGGAAAAATCATAAAATTAATTAAAAAGCATACCAAAATCTGAATTATATGTAAAAGGAAAAGTAACCCAGTTTTCCAAAAACCTTAAAACAGAGATAAAATGAAAGCAGCATGAGATCGAAGACAAATTATAAGTTGAAAAGGGTTGGAAATAGTTATCTTAGAAAGCTAACCAGAGAGAGATCAAAGACTCAGGAGCTCCTCCACTTTCCTCCGAGACAAAAGTAGAGTAAGAGAAATAGAGAAAGAAAGTGCAGGGAAATGGCAAGAAAGAGAGAAAGTAAATATTCGATAAAACACAAACGTCCACAGTTCATTCAGGCCATAGAAAAAATGCTAAAAGAAGAGATGCTCCTCACCTCTATGTTCTTCTTTCTTTTTCCTTGTACTTAAGTTTTTGGTTTTATTAGGAAATGAGAGGATTTATCATGGAAATTACAGATATAAAGGTTATTAGATTTGGATCAACCCGAATAAAAATGGAAGAATCTGATACCTTTGGGATAATGGGGCGGTCAAAAGTGTTTTTATGGCCGAGGAAATTAATTCCATATGGGTTTCAATATGGGTTGTATATGATTCATCTGATGATCCTTCAGCGACACATGACTCATTTGATAATCCTTAAGCGAGAGTTCCTTTCTCTTTATGAATACTTCAAAGTATGGTAAGATTCAAGCTTAGATCTTTCACCAGGATATGACTGTACAAGTGATTTCTTTTTACATGTCTCGCGCTGCTTTTACAATGCTCAAATCCTGAATTAACCATTCTGGTGCTTCCAAGAGTCATGGCAAATGCAACCACACCATTTTAACAAGTATGCTTCAATTATATCATTGCGCCAGAAGAATAGTTCTTCGTGAAAATGTTAATAAGACCGTACAGCCAAACAAAAGAATGCGCCTCTGATGGATTGTAAGCTCATTGTGCACAAATGCAAGTAGAAGAACTCGATGCAAACCCATATATTGCAAGTCTTTAATAACTAGCCATGGCAACTACAGAAGAAACACAAAATTGCAAAGGAGAATCAAATACTAACAATATGCGCCTATCTTAGATGGTCCTAATCAAGTTCGACAATTTTTGAAAACCAAGAAGACACAAAAATTTCTTCATTCTTTTTCAGATCAGAGTTTTTTCAACAATAGAGATCACACCAACCAATTCCTATGTATTCCATAACTCCCATGGTTATTTCCAAATATCAGATTCATCTCTCGTGTATGAACATCATAAGACTAGGCCTTCTCTCCAGCCTAAGTGAAGAAGACCAGAATAAAAAGAATAATGAACAAAACTAGCAAAACTAATATCATCATAATCTGGCCCTTAGCGCTGGCCTTCTTCATAATCATAGCCACTTTTTTCTGCACGGAAAAATGAGGAAATTTTCATCAAAGAACTAATTCAAGACAAGCTACGTAATTAATGAGCAGCAGTTCAGCTCAAGTTGGCAGATAAGCACAAAGGGCCAACCATTTAATTTTCAGATCATGGAAACGATTGTTTTATATCCACAATACCAAATTGAGAGAATCACCTGAACAAAATCCAGTCGGTTTGTTGTGCTGTCCATTTCAGTACCCAACTCATCTATTATCTTCTCCTGAAACACCAAGGGATTCAAATATTAGCATGTGAAATAATCAATATTGATCCTATACTAACAGTGAACAGAACACATTGACTACGGTAGCAATTCATTCAAGAATAGGTAAAGATAAAAAAAATGTGTGCTTAAAGCATTAAGATCAGGTAAACTAGAGAGATTATAGTGGATGCATTACAGGGAAGATCACCAGTAAGTACTCACCTGTGCAAGAAGTTCTTCATGTATAGTAAGCCCAACACCTCCTATTCTCTCAACACTTGCACTGAGCTCATCCAACTCCTCATCCTGCTGCCTATAACCACCAATAAATAAACAATCAAAAACTAGTAAAATTGGGCAAGGAAGCATGTTGATGACACATGCACATGGAGGAGTAATAATAGAAACAGGAAGCCGAATTCAAGAACACTCTACTTAATAAGAAGCATTTGTCTATCTGATTCTGATGCTATAAAGTCATCATTATCTTCTGCAGTATACAGGTTGGACCTATCTGGCTGGTGTAAATTTGGCAGTCTCATTAATTCTCGACGCATCACACTTGCACAATTACCATTCTCTTTTCCAGCTACTACAGCTTTCTTCACATTTCCCACCTGATCAAACAAAATGATCCTTAATGCGGATCCCTAACTGAAAATGTAGAAGACTAAGATTTACCATGTGTTACATAATCCAAATTTTGCATGAATCACAAATTCCATCAACTATAATAACAGGAAAAAAGCCTGCACTGCGCCACTTAGCAAATAAACATTACTGATATCTTCACTCTTTGATAAAATTTAAAATCCATAAGATGATACCTGAGTACGGGCAGTGCTGGTCCATCTCCTCCGCTTTACAAGTTCTGCTTCATCAATGCCGTACCAAGAAGGATCTCTAGCTGCCACAGAAATTGCTTTGTCCAATTCATCCACCTTTCTATCAAAATAGAAGTATTTTCAGCAGTTGCAAATCGGATTAAAATTGTTCAATTAACCCATAAAGATAATGTAAAACACATCATCCCAACATAGAATTTTGCCCATTTTAAGGATCCAATCCAATTAAAGAAGGAAAACTTAATTTGAGTACCTGCCATTGAACGCTCTCACAATTAGCAAGTAGCTCTTTTGCGAGATGTACTTGCTCTCCAGTGTCAGGAGGAAACCTTTCCCATTGGTGAAAACTTGATTGCAATTTATCAATCTAAGCCAACAAACAAAACATCCAAAACGTCATCTAATTGAAAATCCAAAATAAAAAGACAAATAAGACAACTACCAAGGAGACCATGCAATCTTTTTTCTCCAACAGGGTCTAGAAAAAGAAAAGAAAAAACCCAACTTACAGATTCTTGAATCTCTTCTTTGACAATATAAAATGGATCTTGAGCTTTAGACATCTTGTTAAGTAATGGAAGTAACTTATATCCTGTAAACATTCAAAAAAAAAAATTTGTTTAGCGATAATTCAGGTTAAAAAAAAAGCATCAACTTCTACATGGTTCCTTACCTTTGCCACCGACCGTAGAAAACCCCAGTCAGGAAAATCGATGTTTCCACAGTTTGGGAGGGTAAAATAATTGTAAGCCCTAAAACAGAGCAGATGAAAGATTCATGATTTTGGAATCCGAGCTTCTGCCATGTTTTTCATTTATGGGCTGTCTGGTTTGTCAATTCCTCGCCTTCTTCTGTTTTGTGGGTTTCCCACCATTTGAGGCCTAGTAGTGTTTGAAGGAGTCATTGTTTTCGTAATTTTGGGCCAAATGACTTTAAATGGTTAAAGATATTCCTTTTTTTTTTTTTCTTGGACTGTAAAAGGGTTAAGGATACTCCAATGATCATTATCGGCTTTTGATTTTTAAGTACAACGATCTGACAATGAGAGCGAAATACATATTAAAACTTTGAAAAGTCAACAACAACATATTGCTAATTAATGCTTATTATACCGGAACTACGGAGGATTCTTAAATCCAACATTAATTGTGTACTAAAATTAGTTACGAGATATAAAAATTTACATATTTTTTTATTATAATATATTTTTTATGAGATAAAATTATAAAATTAAAAATATTAAAATAAATAATATATCATAAAAATATAAATTATGATAGATAAATTGATTTAAAATATCGAATGAGTGTATACTTAGATCTTGAAATCGTACAGACCTGAAGGTTAAGTTTGAACCCTTGACAAGTGATATCAAAATTAGCTCTTGAGGAACTAATAATATATTATTGAAGACGATGGGCCTTTGTTAGAGTACAAAAAGATGTCACAAATTTAAAAAAGAGTCTTAAATTTCATATCGATTGTGTATTAAAATTAATCATGGAATATAAAAGTTCATACGTTACTTTCATTGTGAAATCATTTTTTTGAGATAAAATCGTGAGATCAAAAGGGATCAGAACGAATAATACATCATAAATATGTGAACTATAATAAGTAAATTGATCAAAAATATCGAATAAATGTATTTTCAGATCCTAAAATCATTCAGACCTAAAAATTGAGTATCGACATGTGATACTTAACATGTGCATATTGATTAAAATAATAATTTTAACAATATTTAACAGAACTAACATTTATTATAATATAAAGTACATTCTTGAGAAAATCGTACATATATTTTTACATGAATAATTTATATTTTTTATATATTTATGTAATATAAAATATAAATATTTTATATATTTATATCATATTTTGCATAAAAATAATAAATTAAAATTTATTTCAATACAAGTAAATTAAATATTTTTTATTTTATTTAACTTATATATGATTTTTATTAAAATTTTAAATCATATCAATTTTATATTTTTTGTTTATATTATTTTTATATTGTATCACAATATATATTTTAAATTAATAAACCTAATTTTTACACATGGTATCATATAAATAATTCTTAAACTTATATTATTTTTCAAATAATCTTATCTAATCAATTTTCAATATTTAAAAATTATAAAGATTAATTTTTTAAAATCTTTTAACTCATATATTTTATTGTATTTAAATCAAACAAAATTTATTTCCCAACTTATCGTTGTCAAATATTTACCATATTTAAAATTTTATAGGATTTTTACAACATTTTAAATTTTAGACAGCTTTAAAATTTTAATAATTAAAATTTATCTATTCATCATAATTGTTATCAAAGAATTATCATTTTAAGTCCATAAATAGAATATCCTACATTATTCCCTTTTTTTTTTCAATTTACAAATGTTCGTTTAAAGGTATATTATTTTTTATTTTTTAATCTCTATAACTTTTTTTTCTTTGACACACGTTTCTTAACTTTTTTTTTTGTATTTTATTTAGTAATTAATCAAAATTATGCCAATTTTTTTTTAATGTCTTGATTCATCATTTAACAATATATTATAAATTAAAATATTATAGTTTATTTTCAATAAAATTATTAAATTTATATTTCAAATAAATGTGACACTAAATTATTTTTTTGAAATTGGATATATATCGATGTGACTATATATCTTTCATGTAGAAAGATATATGCATGTTATCAAACATAATTTCTTGTATAATTTTATCTTAAATTTTATTTTATTTTTTAATAAATTATAATTATTAATTAGATTTGAGAAAAAAATATTATTTTTAATTTTGTTCACTTTTCTCTCTTTTTTTTTTTCTTTAAAGTTGTTTTTTCAAAGCTCAGATCTTGAATTAGTGTGAGCTATGCCTATTTATATCCACCACCATAGTTGCATCATTCTTATTTTGCTTTTAATTGATGTTTGCCTGTTTAAGAATTTAATTTTATCTTATTATAAAAAAAATAAATGTTATGTTTAGATAAAAAAAAATCATAGTTACTTGCTTAAAAATTTTAATTGAAAATTATAACAGAATATGTTATAAATTTTGAAAACTTGAATATAATTTTGAAAAAAATGTTAATTTGTGTATATCCACACTTTACTTCACAATATTTTACAAATTTTTAAATTATAAAATAAAATTTTTGTTTTTTATTAATAAAAATAAAATAAAATAAAATCCAATGTATTATAAAGTAAAAAAAAAAATCTAAAAGAAAAAAAAATTACGTTTTATCAAAGAACCCTAGTCTAATTTGCACCCAAAAAAAAAAAACCTTCGTCTAATGGAAAACCGAAGTCTTTCTAAAACAAAACAGATAACAGTAGAGGTCAAGTCCTCCTCTAATAAATTTCCTCGAACTCCAGCATTTTCCATTCAATTCTCCTTCTTTTCGTTAAACCCCTCCGTTTCGTTTAGGTGCTCTTCTGATTCTCTGTTCTTTTAGTTATTCTTTTGTTTAGTTTAGGTTTTCATGTTTGATCGGCTGCTCCTAAGGTATGTTCGGTAAAAAAAAAAATAATTCGATAATTAAAATTTATAATTATTTTTTTATTTTATTATTTAATCAATAAATTAATAATGGAAACCTGAGGGGCCATGGCCTTGGCCCCCAAAATTTTTAAACCTCCTTAAGCAAGTATATATATTTAAATTGGCCCTCTAACCAAAAAATATTAATTTTGTTATGTTTTGTATTTTATAAATTAAATTTATGTATTGTAATTTAAGAAAAATTCAAATTATATTTATATTTGTTTATTTATTATTATCTAACAATTATTTCTTGTAAATTTTTAAAATTATTAGATTTGTCAAAAATTTTAAATCACGACCGATCTTAACAAAAGTCAATTTAACCTTTTAACTTATTCAAAAAAATTCAAGTTTTCAACAACGTGCCAAATATATTTTTTTTATTTTTACTTTAAATCTCTATCACATGTTGTTGCAATTATTTTTTTCAAAATAAAAATATCATATGGAACTACTTTACAAAATGATAGAAAAAAAAGTCAAATTTTCAGTCTCAAATTTCATTTTTATTATTTTAAAAGTATATTTATTTTCTTATTTTAATAAAACGTTTAATGATTTTTTTATTTATATTTTTTATTTCTCTTTTAATTTGTCAAAAAAATCAAAAAATTTTATGTAATTAATAATTTAACAATTAATTACAAATCATATTATTATTAAAAATATAATGTAATCATAGTAATATTTTTATTTTATAATTTTATACGCTTATCATGTTTTATTAATATATTATTTACATATATATTAATAAATATGATAAAATACATCTTAAAAAATAAAATAATATATATTATACATTATGAATTGATTCTCTTAAAATTATATGTGAAAATCCGTAACTAAAAAAAAAAACTTTAGTTTCTTTGCCTTTATCTTGACTTAGAAAATTCTGATGAAGAATTCCCTTCATCCCCACGTTGCCGTACCAAATTGACCATGGGTCTGTTTTTCTTACCGGGTTAAAAGAGTCAATATGCAACTCTGTTTTCTTCTCTGCTGAAATTTCTCTTGAAAAACAGGGCCATATCGAATCAAAGTGACGGTTTCAAAGATTTTCTGTTTATTTTAGTTAGTGGGATTTGATTAAATAAAACATTGGAATTGGATCTCATACTGTTCTGTTGCTAAACAAAGTTTTTTTTTTTTTTTTAAGAGAGAACGGTAAACATAGTTTTATTAAGATTAAAAATATTTTCCATGTGATTGGCGGATTAAGGTGTTAGGTTTGGAAAATTTTTGTTTACTTTTCTAGAACATTTGAATTCATGCTGCTTTTGACGTTTTGGTGTTCATCCATCATCATTTATAATTTAATCATTTGAAATAGTCTCTCCATTTTATTGGAATAATTTGTTACCGGAAGTAAAACAACAGAGCTCAGCCATGACGTTTTAAGACTCAGTAGATTATTAATGATAGAAGCTATGATTATTAATTATTAATTTAAATCTAATCTATACTTAAAAGACCGTTGTTATTGATTAAAATCGTAATGCTTTCTTGTTTTGGGATAATTGTTTTTATAAAATATTAGGTTTTGACAAAAAACATTAATCTTTTTGGATTTTTATAATGATTTAATGAATAATGTTGTATTATACTAGGCATATTAAATTAAAAAAAAAGTTTATATGTTAAATAATATATAAGCCGTTGAAAATTTACTTTGAATATCTTATTTTCATATTAAAAATTGAGTAGAATTATAAAAGTTGAGAATTTATTTTATGTGAAAAATTTAATAAAATTGTAAACGATTTCACTCTTATAAATAAAATATAACATATTTTGATTTTAATAGAATAATTTCAAATACTTAGATATCGAAAGAATATCTAAATAAGTTGACTATTAAAAAAATGTAATTAAATTTTAGGTTAGATTTTGAGTAAAAGTTTTTTAATTATTTTTTTATTTTAAAAGTCTTATTTTTAAAAAATTTATTTATTAATAAATTAAATTTGAAATAAGTCACTTAAAATTGAATCGAACCAAGTATGTTTGTCTGATTTTATTTTTGTTTTGAGTTTGTTCTATTATTTACATGTTAGGATGTTGTGCGTGTTTGTTTTTTCATAATATAAACAATTTATAAATAAATAATTAATTAATAATTTAAATATTTTTAAGTTAATTTATGTATTAAATATTTTATTCTCTATCATATATTATTCATATATCATAAAAAAATAATACAATAAAAGATGTGATTAAGTAATTTTATAATCTCTTAACAAAATATAAAAATCTTACATTTTTTTATATCAAACCAAATGCAAGAGTCATCCATTCTCCAAAAATTTTCAAGTTAGGCGACAAGGGGAATCATTTTCCCAAAAGAAATCATACTTTTAGTTAACCAAAACATCCTTAGGATTAATTATTCCTAATGTAATTCTAACAAATTTAGTCTCAAAATCGTAAATAACTCTTTAATTCAATAAAATTGAGATACAATGCTAAATTTCAAATTCGAATTACATTATAGCAGCAAATTACACCTTAATCTCCCATAAAATTAAAAGGAATTGTTCAAAGTTGATTTCTTATGTTTTTTATAATTCCATTCATTTTCGAAGAATAAAAATGCTAAATGTCTATAATGATCCATGGTTAAAAAGAAAAGAAAATATATACATTTCAATAGTTAAGAGTTTATTTGTCCTTTTCCAGGAAAATTCCACTCTATAAAATTAAGAGCCATTTGGATGCAGGAGTTTGTACCTGGCCAAACGGTATGCAGCCAGGTTTTGTAATTATAATTATTTAATTAAAATAAAATTTTGGGTTCATTATCATATAAAATTTAAATAAATTTTGTATACTTTTAAATTATGATCTATAATTATATTATTACAGGTGTTATACTCCTTCATCCGAACAGGCTATAAATAAGTGTCCTCTTCATTGTTTAGATAAACGCCTCACTTCTTGATTTCCTCTCAAATCTCAATCATTACTCATTTTCTACTACTTGTGCAAAGCAGAATAATTTTTCATCCCAGAAACATCAAAACAGGCTGATCTTTCTGAGAAGCAAACTGATCTTTTGAGTCATGGATCAAGAAGCCACTGAATCCTATCAAGCTCAAGCTTATTTGTATAAGCATATATTAAATTATGTCAGTTCAACGTCACTCAAGTCTGCTGTTCAGCTTGGAATACCAGATATAATCCACAACCATGGCGAACCTATCACTCTTTCTGAATTGGTCTCGGCTCTTCGCATTGATCCAACCAAAACTAGTTGCATATACCGGCTGATGCGGGTGCTGGTGCTCTCGGGCTTCTTTGCCACAATAAAAGTGGATAAAAATCAAGAAAAGGAAGCTTATGCTCTCACACCTTTTTCCAAGATACTTGTCAAAGACAATATCATTTGCTCATCACCCCTTGTTATGGTAATGCTTGATCCTAATGTTTTGAATCCATGGCAATTCTTAGCAGACTGGATACAAGGAACCAAGCAGCAGGGGCCATTTGAGAGTGCAAATGGGAAAACATTTTGGAAGTATATGGACCAGGACCCAGAATTCAGAAACCTTTTCCATGATGCAATGCAAAGTGATTCTCAATTGATGAATTTGATTGTTAAAGACTGCAAGCCTGTTTTCGAGGGCCTGGGTTCATTGGCTGATGTAGGGGGTGGTACGGGAACGCTAGCCAGGGTTATTTCAGAAGCTTATCCCCATTTGAAATGCACAGTGTTCGACCTCCCACACGTTGTGGCTAACTTGCCAGCTACAGCTAGTGGGAACTTGAATTTTGTTGCAGGTGATATGTTTCAGTATATCCCTTCTGCAGATGCCATTCTAATGAAGGTAGGCAAAAATTTCTGATCATGACACGATGATATATAGTTCTTAGAAATCAGCTTTAAATTATGTTGAAAATAAGTTATTTTGCAGCTTGTTTTACATGCTTTCGGCGACGAGGATTGCATAAACGTACTGAAGAGATGCAGAGAAGCCATCCCAACACAGGGTGGAAAGGTGATTATCATAGAAATTGTGATAAATGAGGAGAAAGATGAACGTGAATTAACTGAAGCAAAGCTCTTCTTCGACTTGACGATGATGGTTGCAGCTACTGGAAGAGAGAGAACTGAACAAGAATGGGAAAAATTATTCATTGCAGCCGGTTTCAGTGACTACAAAATCACTCCCTTATTTGGTTTGAGGTCCCTCATCGAGGTCTACCCTTAAGTTGGCCCAAAAATCATAGATGTTGTTTATCATTTTATGTCTGCAGAAATAAATCATGTGTTAAAGCGTGATTGAATATCACTCTTGAACATAATCACGTGTTTTGACTTTAATTAATAATACTTGTTATGCTATATTTTCTAAATTACTTTTGTCCATACATCAAACTACTTTACTTTATTTGTGAATTTTTTATTTTAGATTATCAAGAATTAATCCAACTTTATATTTAAAACTTAAACAATATAATATATAACTAAATTGTAGAAACCAAAGGTTGATTTCTTCTCATCAAGGTGACAGGTAATTTTAATTTATGTTTGGTGCATAAAATAATAAGTAGGATAAAATGATAATCATTTTATATTATGTTTGATTTATATTTAAAGAAAGAAATGAGATTACAAAGAAGATTATCATCCTCTTGGTCTAAGATGATTCAATCCTATTAAAATAAAGATAATTATTTTTAATTAATGGGATTAAACTTATATTTTTTATTATACTCTTAAAAATTATATCAATAATTTAATTTATATAAATAATTTTTATTAATAAATAAATTATTTTATTTTTATTTGTGCGCACATCAAACATAAGATAATATGATATTATTTAATCTAATCTTTTTAATAATATCATCATATCTTATCTTATCATAAATTTATATACAAACACATCCAAAGTCTTACAAAAATATATATTTCAAATATTTTACACCCATGTTGAAAGTAATAATTTTAGAGGATGTCATCAAATTTGGATAACGATGGTGTTTTAATTTCAAATGAGATTAAGTGGTTGTAATTTTTTAATATATATATATATATATTATTATTATATCAAAAATATATATATCATCCTATTAATGTTTTTGAAGTTTAAAAATTTAATTGTAAGTAAATGTGGTAATACTATAATAAAATCATTAAATAATTTCATATCTATAACTTATAATTAACGATAATCTTCCTCAATTTAATATTAGCTTGACATGTGACTTTTTAATTACTTCATACGTTCTTGACAATTGCCTTTCAATGATTGGTGTTGGATTAAGTTTATTAATTTTTTTTACTTAAAAAAATAAGTTAGTTGAGTGATGATATTAGTGGGATTTGGCTGCAAGGTAAATTGTTTGAATTTGATAATTGCTCAATATTAATAATAAATAAATATTATATGAATGGATTGAATTATTATGTATGTATTGTTGGATTTTGATTTAATTTATATAATCCATTTAAAGTAGTCTTCTTGATTTAAAAGAAAAATCAACACTTGTCCTTGTCACTTAATTATAGTTTTAATTTTTTAATTCATTTTTAAAATATTATATTTTTTAAAAATAAAACACTAAAAATACTAAAAATTATTTAATTTTTAACTTATTATTAAGTTAACCAAATTAAATAATTTATATTTCATCAAAATAAAAGAAATTTGCAACCCTAAGCATAGCCGGGAAAATTTTCTAGTTTGTATTATTCCCAAATTAAGTTCTATTAGGTTTAACTATTTACTTTTTTTTTTTAATTTTATTTGCCAGTTTTAACACAAAATTTGTGAACTTCACCAAATATGTAAACTTAGGCTATTCCTTGAGTTCTTTCACCACAAAACTTGTTCTTGGTTATATATCTTCAGTCTCCAGTGCCCCTTTATTTTCCATTATGAAATCTCTTCTTCTAATATTTACCTAAAGCGTACAGTGAGTTAGATCAACAAAAAATTTTTTTTTTTTCCAACAGTTCCACATGATATTGCAAATTGCCTGTAGATCCCGTATATGAAAGTCAAGGATTTCATATCAACAATTTCTCGGGATCTCATCAATAAACAATTCCAGGACGCTAATGATGAATGCTCCTTGTAAAACAAGTTACGAGCTAAATTTCAAGATATATAATCCTTCAACTCCTCCACTATCATTTAATCAGTTGATTCCGGGCAGGGAAAATTTGAAAAGCAATGTCTTTCAGAAAGGCGGAACTTGATTTGATTTTGGTCCCTGCTGGGTTGCTGATCATGTTTGTTTACCATCTAATCCTCTTCTACAGATACCTGCATCGTCCTCACACCACAGTCATTGGCTTTGAAAACAATGACAAAGAAGCTTGGGTTGAAAGAGTTATGCAGGCAAGGCTTTTTCTTAGTTTCTCCTTTTCTTTTGCAACCAAATCGATCAACCAGGCTTTTCTTGTCTAATTACATGGTTTGATTGGTGTTTGCAGGCTGATAAAGATGATATTAGTAATGCATTGACTGTGATCGGATCCAACACATCGGCTGCAACGTCCCTGTGCTCAGTCTGTTTGACTCTAAGCTCCCTCATTGGAACCTGGCTTGTAAACTCTTCAGATAATTTCTTTCAAAGCAATTTAATTTATGGAGATACAAGGCCATCCGCCATGTCCATCAAGTACATTTGTCTTCTGACCTGTTTCCTCATTGCTTTTTCTTGCTTTGTTCAATCAGCCAGGAACTTTGTTCATGCAAACTATCTAATAACCACACCAAACAGTGATGTACCAGTCGAGTCTGTGAAAATAGCAGTTCTCAGGGGAGGTGATTGCTGGTCACTTGGGCTTAGAGCACTTTATTTTGCTCTTGATTTGCTTCTCTGGTTTTTTGGTCCAATCCCAATGTTTGTTTCTTCAATAGTCATGGTACTCATCCTCCATTACCTTGATACCAATACCAAACCAATGCATCCCCATCTAAAAACAACCACCCAGAAAGGTCTCCGCTAGAAGTTATCGTCGTGGTTTAGTTCTGCAGGTTTGATTTTTCAGTTCAATGAATTTGAAAACAAAAAATATAGATATATCCAACGTTCTCCTTTACATACGCAATTACAATTGCAGTGGGAGCAGCATGCATAAGAGTTGAAGCAACCACTTGGAATGCACATCATGGAAGTTTCAAAGGATTGAGACAGCCGATGGCTAAAATTTGTTAGTTTCGAAATGGACAAAATTTTTGTTATTATAACTTGTTAGTTGTTGATTGATTGTGTTTGATTTGTTGATAAATGATGATAAAAGTTGCAATTTTTTCATCAACAACTAGAACCCCTCACAATCATGTGCAGTGTTCCTTCATTAGCAAGCAAAGTTAAACGTTTTAGCAATTAATTCTACATTAAATTGATTTGGAAATTAACATTGCAATTATGTTAAAGTAGTACTAAATAATAAACCAAACTCTGTTTGACTTGCTCTGAAATATAAATATTTGAAACCACCTGGCTGATTCTGGACCTCAAAAGTTTCTTTCGTTATTGCAAATTGAGATTCTACGTTTCTTTACCTTTTTTCTTTTTTTTTTTAAATTTATAATGATTCCTCTTAATATATGAATATCTTTAACTTTAATTCATGCTAGAAAATTTTTATGTGCAGTTGAGCACCATAATTATTTTTATGATTTTTTTTACATAAAATTTAAGATAAATAAATTATTCAATTATTTAAATCAAGATAATTGTACTATATCTTATAATTTAAAATAAATAATTATAGATCGTACATTCGAAATGACGTTAATAACCAATCACTGACAATTTAATTTATACTTCTTATATTAGCAATTTAATTGAACAATTTTTTTTAATTTTGTAAATAATCCTTTTGATTTTTCCTTCCATATCAATCTTACCAATAAGGATAAAAGTTTTCTCATCTCTTGGAGGGAAAAAGGAAAATCTCTTCTCCAGGCCCAAATTCAAATAGGCCCATGATCATAAAAAATGGACAATGTATTAAAGCCCAATGAAACTTGAGTATTCAAATAGGTTATTATAATTATGCCTAATAATTTGTATATTTTTATGGTATTTTATATGAAAATTAAATATTATAATTTATATTTTTTATTTTCAGTATTTATATAAAAAAATTTAAATTTTAAATAATATCATATTTTATGTATTTTTCCGGTTGTCTCCTGTTTAAATTACGATCCAACTTTTAGGAGTTACTTCTGTTTTTTTTTTTTTTTTTTACAACACATGCTGCTTCTGTTAAATAAATAGATTATTTTGGGGCTGGAAATTTGGAAATAAAAATTTTGAAGGATCAAAGAAAAAGCATTCTCTTTGGATTGATATTAACATAAATTAGATTCAGAGACACTGATAAGTGTATTTGGATTATACAAGGAATCCAAGTGAGCGACACCGTTTTGGGCAATTAAGTCTGCCGGTCCCGTCCCGTGTGATGGCTGCTTTCATATGCATTTTGGCCGTACGATAGAATTGTTAGAGTAAATGTGTTAACCTCAATTGATAGCCGACAGATTCTGCTCAGACAAAGACCGATCTAGTTCCTTTTGGCAAGTCTCATGTGGGTCCTACCGACCACATATCTTACGCCACGTGTTCTGGCCAGAATCTTGGGATACGTGTAAGTGAAACTATAAAAAGAAACTAAACTGCGAAGGAGAAAGTTGGGGATTCTCGAGGAGGAAGAAGAAAGAAAGAGGTTGGATATCGAAACGTAGTTAAGACTTAAAGTTAAAAACCACAACCTGAAATGGCGAAACTACCCTCCCTCAGATGCTGAAGGAAGGGCGTAGGCACAAAAGAAGCATAGGGGCGCGTTCGAGGATGATTGACATGACCAAACGTACGATGAAAGGCTAGACAAATGCAGAGAGAAAGGCAGAGCAGCAACCCCCGTAAAAGTCGAGCGGTCTCTCTCTCTGCAGGAAAAAAAAAAAAAGAAAGGCCTAACTTTAGTCCTTTAGGGCAATCCTTTTTCCCCTTTCTCTGCAGAAACGCTGCATCACATCCCCTTTCACCCCAATCCCACGCGCCCCCATCGACCGTGCTGCAGCCTCTCAGTTTCAAAATCACACTAATATCTTCGTCGTTTTTTGGGGTTCAGAAAAGCACCTTTGTCTTTTGCAACTTTAACAAAATTTACTTTTACTGATATACTTTTTGAAGCTTTTTAAACAAGTTTGAGTTCAATTCAACAAAGCTGGATTCACATGTTCCTAAATAACTAAGCTTTATGTCCTTGAGTCTAAATTGTATAGGAAATTAAATTAAAGATAGGTGGATTCATATGTCATTTCGAATCAAACCCTTTTATCATGTACCATGTACCAGTAGTATGCCTTCTTTTTAGTATTAAAAAGTACTCAAAAACAGACATAAAAATCGAACGAGATGGATGAAATATCAAGTGTAGATATTTGAGGGGTTGGTCTTGTGTGTGAGAGGACATACCATTAGCCACGATGGTCGACATGTAGATTGGGGAAGGAGATTGTTCAGTTGAAAAGTGCGCACTCAATAGTCCATAGCCATTATTAGTATTATTATTTTTCGATGATGATCTGGCTTGGGCTTGGGCTGGGTCCAGGTCCATTCCTGATCCTTACATGATTTTTGTACGGTCCAACAAAATTTGTTGAACGAACAGAAATCTTGCAATTTATTTTTTCCTTTTATTGTCAGATACATTGAATTGATAAATAAAAAAAATAAAAATATGTACATTACACTTTTAACAATCGTCATGTCACATTACCACATCGATAATATACATGAAATATAAAAGGAGGATAAAATTATGCATGTAATCTACTATTTTTTCCTCTCCTCACATTCTTTCTTCTTTTTTCATCAAACACTTAATTAATTAGAATGTTGAATTGCATCTCAAAATCCTATTTAAAAAAAGTTCAACATGGAAATGATTTTTATATCAGACGACAAAATGAGCTACAAACATCTTGCTTTTTGCTTTTGCTTCTCCTTAATTTTTGGCAAACCCACCTTTGCTTCCTCTCTCTCTCTCTCTCTCTCTTTCAATTTGATATAATTAACACATAAGAGGGTACTAATTAGAGTAAATAGTTAAACAAATTTTTAAAATAGTACCCAAAAAAAAAAAAAAGATGCTCAATATGTAAGTAGGGCCCGGAAGCCATTATTCGTTTGGCTAATTTCAACAAAGTAGAAGTACATTGGTTTGATGAGTCTCAATGTGAATCTAAGAATAACTTTATGGTACTTCCCTTGTTGTTTCAAAAAGCAAATTATTAATTTAGGGAACCCGTGCACAAGTAATAATTTTGATTTTCTTATGCCACGAACCCTTTACCAACCTTATAAGATGCGACAAAATTAACCAATTCTTGTCTTAAAACATCTGTTATAAGACATCATTATAAGATTGTTTTAAGATAAGATCATATGTTTTATTTAAATATAAATCCTGATTAACAAAACATTATGATATCTCAAGCATTATCGGTTTCATCCTTTTTTTTTTAATTAATTTTTTTCTGGTTCTTTTTTATTATAGGGTGCACGTGAGACAGAGCATCATCATTTCTTTCTTTAACTCATATGTGACTGCTAAAAGGCTTTGCTTTTGGATTAGGTTAGGTCTCTTTTCCTTTTGCCATTTCATTTTGATTTCGAAACTTTGCTAGCTGCTACTCACATTTTCTAAGCATCATCATGGATTTTGCCTTTACCTTAACAGAACACATTTACAATTATTAAAGAAATTAAAGATATACAAATCTAAATACATTCAAATATTTTCTTAAATAATAAATGTATATTGTTTGGAGAAAATTTTGAATTCAAATAATTATTTTTTAAATTATCCTTGAAACGAAAAAATTATACAAGTCATGAATTAATTTAACAAAATTATTTCATATAATTAAAAAAAAACCCTTTTTTTTTTTTGGACAAGGACAATCTGCCTTCGATCAAAGGGATAGAATGCCCTAAAAATCAGGGTTGTGACTAGAAAATGGCGATGCCTAACCAAGTCCTTATTAATGCATGCAGGTGGAGTTAAAAGGGTATGAATAATGTTTATGCTTTCCAAACAGGGTAACTGCCCAACATTGCATTTCACTCCAAAACTAGTCAAAAATACCACAAACCCATAAAAGAGGAAGTTATTAGGGGCACTTCCTGTTTGGTTTTTTTTTTTTTAAATTCATGGCCCCCTCCCTTCTTTAAACATGATTACAGGTTTCGCTTGCTAAGAATTAGAGGCGCCCCATTTTTCAAAAGTAAATGGGCGCCCAAATCAACAGCCAGTCTAATAATGAAACAATCTTAGTGCGGTTGGTGGGACTGACGCAAAAGATTAAAGTGAGGCAAAAGGGAAAGTTATATAAAATATGTTTGCCCCACGCTTTCGTAACGCGCGTTCTTCCACGTTCCGTTTTTTTGACATTTTAATTAATTTTAATGTGATAGATAGAAATACTAATTAATTTTTATTTTTTTCTCGTAAGTAAAAGATTGAATTGTTAAAAGGTTCATGCATTGGATATAACGAAAATATAAATTTATTAAAAATATAAAAAATTTTATTTATTTATTTGAGCTTTTTAATCATTCCATCAATTTTGATTGATAAAATTATAAAGCAAAAGCACTAATAATGATTCAAACAGCTTTAAACGCTCCATGGTGGCGAGTGGAATGGAAGGTTTCTTCTATAGGATAAAAGCGTAAAAGCAGTGACAACCAATTGGGCATTGAGTTGTAACCCGTTTTGTCCGGGTTATCTGCCTACGGCCTGCCGTCTCGCTCGGCTAGGCTTTAGGCCTTGGTTGGGTTCTTTGCAATTGATGGCTCTGACAAAGACGTGCCTCTTTGCTTTACTGTCACACATTAATCCATACAATCCCAATTCCCATTTCTACCCTTTTTTTTTTCCTCCCCAAATTACTGATTTTAATGGATCCCTTTGCTTTCTAATTACGATGCTAACAACCCATTAACCTAATCCTTATTTTATTAAAATTTGAATCATAATTATAAAAATTAAAATTTTAATCACTAATAAAATTTGTAGTCTCTAAGACGGGTTTGATCAAGGGATTATCCCCTAATTAAATCTTAGACCATTACAAAAAATTTTATGTGCGAATATGGCAGAAATATGTAACCTCAAAAGATTTATTTTTATTTAATTTTCAACTATAATAAAAAAATCATTAAATTTTCTTCATTTATTGATTGATTCTCGTCACACCAAATTATAGTTTTATATAAGTTATTGACGATCTATTAGAAGTTCTGGCTGAAAACAAGACAAGGGTTTAACTCTGATTGGGGCTGTCAAGTTTGTAGATAAAATGACAGTTTCAAGTAAATTTTTACAACTTAGCAGCTTTTAAATTGACATAGATGAGAAGGGTCATTCCTTCCATGATTGGTCAGGCATAATGGCCTGCACTTCTCATTGCTTTTTACCCAAGAAAACAAAACCATAATGGCCAACAAGACCATGCATCAAAGTCAAAACTTTGGCGGAGCTGGAATCATGGAAGAGAAAAGATCAATACCGTAATCTTTACATGTGCATGTAAGCTTACAACTTGGCAAGTTGGAGATCATGGTTGTTCAAATATGAATGCCAAACTCAACCAAATAAGCTGTGGGTATGGGGCTTTCCAGACAGAATATAGGCTTGGATTTGAAGTTGGGAAAAGTTTGTCCCTCTAATAGAAAGGTTAGCTAACTCTGGTCTCTATCAGGGTTTGGCTAATTTACAGAAAATCTATCCCTGCTTTTCTTAAAAAATAAAATGTCAAATGCCAGGAAAGTAACAGAAGAGAAAAAAAAAGTTTTAAGCTGTAATATCCAAGAAATGATGTTTAATAGGTGCAAAAGAATACTGACAAAGGAGAGGTTTAGTGGGGAGGGACATGAGTGAGATTTGGGTAAGTAGAAGGGGACAGAATAGACATCCGCCCGGAAATACTGGGAGCAGTACAGGAACCCTCAGCTTTCACTTTTCTCCTTCTCTCTCTTTTTAATAATCAGTTGGTATTTTATATGCATTGGAGTTGGATTTAACTTTCAAAGTAAAAACCCCCGTTTTAAAGTTCTCATAGTTCTCTTTACTCTCTCTCTTTCTGCCACACATCACTCTGAGCAGTCGCAGCATTGCAGCAGCAACAGTTGCAGCACTGCTACTGCTCAGTTTGCAGTCAAGAAGCCAAAAAAGAAAACATCGAAAACACCTTCCTTCCATAATAATCCAAAAAAAATATTACTCCATGTACTACCATATATATACATATACATGTCTAATTATTGCTATAAATATTAATATTATCATTTAATTAAAGCTCACAAAAGCTTGATTTGACTAAAACCCCATCACCCCCTAAAAAAAAGAAATTTGGTTTTTTTTTTCTTTTTTTTTTTAGGGTCTTGATTCAACTTCTTTTTGCAATGCCAAAGTTGCACTTGCTCTTTTATCTTGAAAAACCTTTCTCTAAAGTGCATTCATGAAATAGTAATACCTCTTCTTCGTTACTCACTGCTTCCTGTCAAAAAAACCTAAACTTTCCTTCAACTTCTCCAAAAAACCGTTTCTTTCTAGGCTTTTTTTGGACTAGCCAATGGGGGGTTTAATCGATCTGAACACTACAGAAGACGACGAAACGCCGTTATCTGGTTCTTTATCTCCATCTTCGTCTTCAGCTTCCGTGTTGAGTGTCTCTGGTGCTGCTGCTTCTGGTTCTAGTTCTAGTTCTTCAGTTTGTTTAGAGCTTTGGCATGCGTGTGCTGGTCCACTTATATCTTTGCCAAAGAGAGGAAGTGTAGTGGTGTACTTCCCTCAGGGGCACTTGGAACAAGTGTCCGATTTTTCCGGCGTAGCTGCAGCTTATGATCTCCCTCCCCACGTGATTTGTCGGGTTGTTGATGTCAAGCTCCATGTAAGCCACCTATACATGTTTTAAACACTGCCACTCTTATCTTGTGTGTTCTATTAATTTTCTTTGTCTAACAAATGTTTCCTTGAGCTTTTGGGTTTTAGGAAAATTTTCTTTTTCTTTGTTGTTTTTGAGGTTTTAAAGCGGAGAGCTTTGAAGTTTGGATTTTTTGTGAGAAAATAGAATTATGGCTGTGGTTTTATGGGTTTGAATTCTTCAAAATTTTTTTTGCTCTTTGGGTTTTGCATCTGGGTTTGATTTAGTTTCAAGAGAATTGGGTTTGATGTAGAGCTAATTCTATAAGGAAATCTGACAGGCCGTGTGAAGTTAATTTTAAGTTTTTTATCATGGGCAATTAGGTGTTGCAAGTATTTGAAGATTACCCATATTTTTTCTATATCTGTTTTCCAAACAAGGTTGTTTTTTTTTTTATTTGAATTTGCTATGAACTGTTTGCTTCTGTTGGCAGGCTGAGGGTGCCACGGATGAGGTTTACTCGCAAGTTTCACTAGTTCCTGAAAGTGAGGTGGGCTATATTCTAGTTTCTTGTTTTGTTTGGTTAAAGATTGCTTATAAAAATAGCAACCATGGGAAAATTATAATCATTATGAACCAAGTTGCTTTAGCTTAAGTGTTCATTTTCTTTAAACGGATGGAGATAGGATAGGACAATGACATCATTCTGAATTAGAAATCATTGTGCAATGATGAATTGAATTGAATTTTTAATTTTGGTGTGTCATTTTTGTTGCTTAATGTAGTTGTGTCTTATCGTTTCCGTTCAAAGTGCTTTTCCCTGGTTACGTCCAATTTTTGGGTCTGATTTTGCATAAATTGTGCCTTGTGTAGCAAATTGAGCAGAAGTTGCAAGAGAGGAAGACAGAGGCAGCTGGTGAAGATGAGGATGCAGAAGTTGATATCAAGTCAACCACGCCTCACATGTTCTGCAAGACCCTTACGGCTTCTGATACCAGTACACATGGAGGCTTCTCTGTACCTCGTCGAGCTGCTGAGGACTGCTTCCCTCCCTTGGTAATTCTTCTGCACTTTTCCCCTTATTTCATTTATATTTTCATTGTTTATTTCTGTATTTTTAAAGCGTTCTTCTGTATAGCGTTTGAGTTTAAGTAGATTGGTATTGTAGGATTATAATCAGCAGAGGCCCTCACAAGAGCTTGTTGCAAAAGACCTGCATGGCTTGGAATGGAGATTTCGACACATTTATAGGGGTATGCGCTAATGTTGGATGCATTTTAATGTAACATATCGTAATGATGGATTTCCTCTTATGCAACAAAGGCATGTGGATCAGGGCCTTGATTAGCTGTTTGTTTCTCTATTTGCTGCTAAGATAATTTCGGTTTGAGCAGGGCAACCACGGAGGCATTTGCTCACTACTGGATGGAGTGCTTTTGTAAATAAGAAGAAGCTTGTCTCTGGAGATGCTGTGCTTTTTCTTAGGTTACAAATTTCCCCTTTTCTGAAGTTTTAATTAATATCCTATAGGAATCTGATTTAGTGTCCGTGGCAGGGGTGAGGATGGAGAACTGAGGCTGGGAATCCGAAGAGTTACTCAAATTAAAAATGGCACTTCTTTTCCATCCTTGTGCAGTCAGCAGTTGAACAGCAGCACTTTTGTAGATGTGGTCCATGCTATATCTATGAAAAGTGTTTTCAGCATTTACTACAATCCAAGGTATGTAGCTGCCCCATTCAGATATTTGACAAGCAATATTCTGAGGATGCAATTTTAAAATTCATGAGTGAACTTCTAGATTTTTTTACAATGTTGGCATTGGGGAGTGAAATAAATTTGAAATGAGAGATCGGTAAAGCATTAATGTTTAAATGCTAAATTTTGTGCTTGTAGCTCCCTATTTTTTGCTGCTATGTCTACTTTGATGTGCTAAAAAAAAAATTATTTTGAAGTGGTTGATGTGGGGCTGGCATTTTTTCACTTGTTTCCTCAATTTTCTGGTCACTTAAAGCCTGAATCTCATTTTACCTTTTACCTTATTCGGACACCCTTTTAATATCCCAAAATAATTTATAATGTCTAATAAAAAGGAAGTTTCTGATAATTATCTTTTAGTTTAGATATGTGGTGTCATATGTACAAGCTAGTATTATTTTGGGAAAATCTTCATAAGCTTGCCCCTTGGTCCTTGCTGTCATCATTGGTGGTTAATTCCTTGTGACTCATTTGTGCTTACTGTACTTTTAAGCTTTTGTTTGCTATAATTGCATGTTATACTTATTCTCATGCTTTCTTGGTCATTCTCTACAGTCATTTTCTTGATGTGATCTAAAACTATTTTTTTGTTGATATCTAGCAGAGCCAGTTCATCAGAGTTCATAATACCATTGCATAAATTCTGGAAGAGTCTTGATCATTCTTTTTCTATTGGAATGAGGTTCAAAATGCGGTTTGAAACTGAAGATGCTGTAGAACGAAGGTGTGACCTGATTGAACCTGCAACTCTTCGGTTAAATTATATGGTTTTTAGCCTCAAGAATGGTGGGAAGACTTACTCAACTATGCTACCAAGGCCTTAACTGAAATTTTCTTTTTTGCAGATATACAGGATTAGTAACAGGAATTGGTGATATGGATCCTGTTAGATGGCCTGGTTCTAAGTGGAGATGCCTGCTGGTATGGCTGCTAATCTTGCTTAAGTGGAGATCCTCGTTAGTTTTGTGATTTTATCAAAAATTACTAGAGTTAATGCTATAGGCTTATTTTTGCAGGTAAGGTGGGATGATATTGACACCAATAGGCATTGCAGGGTTTCTCCCTGGGAAATCGAATCATCTGGTTCAATTTCTAGTTCTAACATCTTGCTCACTCCTGGTTCAAAAAGGAGCAGGGTTGGATTGCCTTCAGGAAAACCTGAATTTGTGGTTACTGGTATGTTCTTCTGCATAACCATATTTCTTTCCTGTTTCAACGCAACATTGTTTGACTTAGTCCTTCATTCTTCTGACAGATGGCATTGGAGCATCCAACTTTGGGGAATCTTCAAGATTCCCAAAGGTCTTGCAAGGTCAAGAAATTTTGGGTTTTAACACACTTTATGATGGTGCTGATAGTCAAAATATGCATCAGTCTGATATAAGGCGGTGCTTTCCTGGTTCTAATGGTTCTGGTATTGCTGCAATAGGAAATGTTGGTAGAGACCCACCCGTGAATCCTGATATTTCCTATAAAGGTGTAGGCTTTGGGGAATCTTTCCAATTCCATAAGGTCTTGCAAGGTCAAGAAATTTTTGTAAGCCCTTCATATAGAAGAGGCCCAACTGCAGATGAGAATCGAGAAAATGACGGTCCTGGTGTCTCGGATGCTGGTCAGTTGTCAGGAACTCGAAGTAGATGGTCTTCTTTGATGCAGGGCCATAATGCTCATAGTCGTATACTACCATCTGCACAAGTGTCCTCACCATCTTCAGTGTTAATGTTCCAACACGCAAGCAATCCAATTCCAAACCTCAATAGCGAGGAAAAGGAGCAGGGAGTTAACAAGCGGGGTTCTTTTCGTGCTCCTGAGACTTGTGGGGGAAAGTTATTGCCATCTTCTGCTGGTGAATACAATTCCCGTCCGAGGGATCTTGGAAGTGTGGATTCTTTTGGTCATTCAATTGCTTTTGTTCAACTTGGTGATACTCACCCTCTGGCAGCTCAGCCAGCATTTAGGACTACTCAAGAATTAGCTTCCTCATGTAAAAGTAGCTGCAGACTTTTTGGTTTCTCCTTGACTGAGGGAAGACATGATGCTACTAAGGAGGACAACATGGTGCAAGCAACCTCATCATTGGCTCCTGGAGCATTTCTACCTCGTATTGGAGAACAGTTTCACCCAAAGCCTCCAGCAATGACAAACACTGTTCGAAGCAATTGTACCAAAGTAAGCAACCTCTATGCCGTCAGACATGCGTTTTGATATTGCATGTAGTGTAGTCAGCCGGTAAAGAGTTTTGTATACAGGGTTTTGGATGGCTAGAGCTTGATGATTATGATGATGTGATTGGAAAATTGTAATTTTTATTAGGCAGCTTATTTTGGGGGAGAAATGATGAAAATATTTTACAAAGAAAAGGAAGATTCTTGATATGGTCGTTTGTGGAGATTAACTGCTGGCTTTTTAATTTTCTATTAGGAGTGATCCTTAGATTTGGGAGCAAGTACATGCTAGTGTCAAACCTGAAAGTATTCATTCTAGACTGCCTTGGGGATGCATGGAGAATGTTATCTGGTGTCACACAACTTGGAGAGTAGTTGGTTTGAAAAATGTTTCATTCTTGTGGTATGCCATTTGATTTGAAGTGCTTCGCAGCATTTCCACAGAATCGGGGTCTGATTGTTTTTCAAAAATGGCTATGTTTCCGGTTCTCAAGTTAATCTGATATCAATGGCTAACTTTTTTTACAGGGAATTCTTCGACATTGTCTCAAAAATTATGATATATACTGATGAAGATGCCGCAGAAGCAGCTGATGTTGGGCAGGAAGATGCCTATGGTTGCTCTAGTTGCTTGTGTGTTTTGATTGTAAGAATCTATCTGATGACCTAAAATTGGAAAATTGTAATTATTCTATGAAATGACTTGATTTTATCTTAACTGCCTTGTGGCTATCATAAGAAGACCATGTGTTAACCCTTGTGATTGTATTCTATTCAAACCCCATGCAGTTCCATTCTATTTCGGTTGGTTGATGAACCCAATCTGCTACATTGAAAATAGTCATGGTTTTTCAACTTCAATGATCAGGTTGAAATCAAATCTAACAGTATCAATTTTAAAAAAGGGTACGGATAAACATTAAATGCAGAACAAGTTAATAACCTGCAGTTAACCGGAATCGAATATGACGGGATCGTCCCAATTCAAGCACTGCCGACCGTTGAGGCCTGGAAGAATAGCGAAAATAAATGCTGCCTGCAGTCATTTTGAATCATCACATCAGCCGCTTATTAATTTGCTATGCCAATAACTGGTTAATGGTTTATGGCAGGTGGGATGGTCCCTGAGCTTGGCCCTCAGGCATATCAGTTAATTTGGCAATGGAAATTATTTATTAGAGGCATTCTTGCAGTTGGCTCAAGTAGAGGTAAAAGAAGTTGATTTCTGTCAATCTTACAATAAAACGGGACTAGAAAATTCTGGTGAAAACTCCAACATCCAAGAAGAAAAATTCTGGCTCAGCCAATGCCACTACAAATAAAACATATGTTTCGCATTTAGATTGTTTTTCAACTACATAAAAGTTATGGGAAGTGAAGTGAGCTTAGGGAAGACGAAGAAGAGGTTAGGCAATAGGTGCGATGCTTCAAGCTGGGCCCATGCGGCAAAAACATTTACTTCTATGGTGTCAATGCCCTGCCGGCCAAGTCCATTTGATGGCCAATTTCACTGGACACTTCTTTACTCTCATAAAAAATGCCCTTTTTTTTAAATTCCACTTGATTGGATTCCAATTTGAATTTTTTGTTCGGATGTTTAGATCGGATGATTTATATATTTATATCATATAAAATATTAAAATTTATGTATTTATATTATATTTTATATAAAAATTACGTGATATAATTTATATCAATATAAAAATATAAAATATATTTTATTAAATTTAAATATAATTATTATTAAAATCTTAAATTATATAATTTTTATATTTTATAAATATATTATATTTATATTATATAATTATATCATATTTTAAATTATCAAATCTACCAATCATATAATTGATGTTTCAAACATACAGAAGATATCCATTTTTTCTTTTTATTACTATAAAATTTGAACGTACTAGGCCCATGCTTTTCGGTCGAGAGACAGCCAAGAACTTGTTCTTTGCAGACAAAAATTAAAACTCGCTAGGTTTGGATTATAACAACACTTAGGAAAAAAAGATAATTTTTTATACAAAAGAACACAATTTAAGGGTAGAAAAAAATTGCATACATTAAAATTTAAAATTATAAAATATTATTTTTTAAAATAATTATACTAAAAAAATGAATTAAGTTCTAAATTAAAGAAAAGAAACATAATTAAGCTACAAAGTGACAAAACAAAAGGAAAACCATGGGAGGAGTTAGTCTACACCAACAACAACGTTAGAAAAACAGCCGCAGTTTTGAAAGCATTTTTCTCTGCTTTTCACATTCTGCCGTAGGTTTTTATTATTTCTCTTTCTCGCTTAAGATCTATTTAGATGATAATGATATTGTAATAAAATAAAAGATAATAATAAAATTTATTATAATTATAATTAATAAATTAATAAATTTTTTTAAAAATAAATTTTATTAAAATTAATATTTAAATTTAATTAATGATACATAAATTTTATCATATTATATAAAAAATACGATAAAATTCGTACGAACCCTTAATCATTACGCGCCCGCAGCTTTGAACTGTTACTATGTAAACCGATGTTCTTTTCATTATTTGGTAAGATATGACCGCTTATTTTCTGAGTGGACCGACCCACCTCAATTTTCCAAAGTAAACACCTCCACCTCTTTATGTTGAAATATTATTATCATTTTTTTTTATTAATAATAAGACTAAAAATAGCATTTCTTTTGGGACAGAACAACCACCCCCAACATGATTATTAAATTAAAAAAAATCATTAGCCTAGTAATTTGAGCAATATTAAATTCACTAGCAGTTCAAAAATAATTTAATCAATAGTGGTGCGTTAAAAATTTCCTCAATCTTTTCTTGGAATGGTCTCAGTAAAATACCGAGCTTTGTCACTGCAGCACTAGAGAAGCTTCCTAATCTGTTCAAGGCACTTGCTGCGGATGGGGAATTTTGTAGGTTAATATTGTCCATTACCTGAGAAAAGTCGTGTCCGTTAACGTTGAATTTTTCCACAATTTGAGCCAAAGAAACTGTGAAGCCATCGGAAAAAGGATGTCATCCTTTCGGCTTTTTGCTACACACACAGTGCAGAAGATAAAGGAAAGGTCACATTCAGTTGGGGACCTAACAATACCAAGATATGGGAATCCGACGTACAGCAACGTCACCCACAGGCCATAGTCCACAGTCTACCTGACGTACTTTTGTGCGTAAATGGCGTTGACGTTAGAGTCTTCTGCCCATTTATAAACCCCCCACCCCATCTGCCTCATCATCAAAAACCAGTCTCTCATTTGATCCAATCTCTTCAACTACTAGCACCATCATAATCATATATATGTAATTGTAACCATATATATAATCTATGCAAGAAGCAATCCCTTATAAATCATACATGGCCTCCACCGCCACCGGCAGCCGCTCCCCGCTTCGTAACTTTTTTGATGGTTCCAATGGTACTGAAAATAGTGTAACGAAATTGGTTGTGGAGAAAGCGGTCATAGTTTTTGGTAGACGTGGTTGCTGCATGTGCCAGGTTGTGAATAAGTTGCTACTAGGGCTTGGGGTGAATCCGGCAGTTTGCGAAGTGGAGGAAGAGATGGAAGACGCTGTGCTCAATGAATTGTCAATAATCAATGGTGAGAGAGGTGGGATTCAGTTCCCAGCTGTTTTCGTTGGAGGGAAGTTGTTTGGGGGATTGGATAGGGTTATGTCTACTCATATTTCAGGTGAATTGGTGCCTATTTTGAAAGATGCTGGGGCTTTATGGCTATGACTTGTAAACCTGTTTCATGTCTTGCTTCTTCTTCTTCTGGGCTTCAGTTCAGGACTTGCAGATCGGTTTTACTTTACGGTTAGAATAGTTTGTCATATAAAACTTCTTTCAAATGAACTGAAATCGAATGTAAGATCTATGCCAAGTTCTTTTTCTTTTGAAAAATTAGTGAGAAGATAAGAGTAAAACTGTAGTTTTTTTTTTTTTTTTTCATTTTTAATCTCTGTTAATTTGAAGCTGAAGGCTTGAATCATGGATATGGATTCCACACGCTAAACCTGGATTAGGGTGTTCTTTAAAATTCAAGAAATCAACCAATAACAAGTAAAATCAAACAATTCAACTACCATAAGTTTGTCAAAGTATGCAAAATTATTACCTACGCAAAAAAAAAAAAAAAAAAGATACGATGATTGACCTCAGATGATAATGATGCAGAATCGTATATACGAGTACTCATGTTGCCGTAAGTAGACTAATTATCACAAAGATAAATTTGTTCAACGATGTGAGGGAAAAAATAAATTAATACAATAAATCTCCATTGAATCAATCAATATTGATTTAATTTCTTTCACATAAAGTGGATTTTGGAGCTTAATTTGATAAATGATCATGTTGATAAGGTGCTTAGAAGGGAAATTTTTTTTTTTTTAAAAGAAATCATGGGGGAGCAGAACTATAAGCTAAAGACTTTTAGGCTCTGTTTATTTTGTAAAAAATAATTTATATTTTTTTAATTGAAAGAGATTTTCAGTTATTTAGATGAGTTAATGAAAAATATTTTTTATTGTTTAATTATTTTTTAGATCATTTATTTTTTCTAAATAATATTAATTAACTATTAAAATATTTAAAATTATTTATTATTAAAATATATTAAAATTATTAAAATTAAAAAAATAATTATATTTTAATAATAATATTTAATATTAAAATATTACGTTAATATAAAAAAACTTAAAATAAAACTATTTATTATTCTTTATATTATTTATTAAGACATTATAATATTATTTATTTATAATATTTATTAATATATTAATTAATAGTATATTATTTATTAATGTATTATTATAATATTTATTAATTAAATTAATAATATTATTATATTATTTATTAATATAATATTTTTTAAATTAATATTTATTTATAATAATATTTATTAATATATTATAATATTATAATATTATTTATTAATATATTATATTAATATAAAATTATATTATTTATTAATATATTATAATATTATTTAAAAATAAAATTATGTTCAAAAGTATTGATAAATAATTTTACTCATAGATAATTTTTTTTCAAAAAATATCTTTTTATTTTTAAATCCGTAAGACAACTTTTAAAAAAATAATCTCATTTTTAATTGATCAAAAAATTATTTTTCATTGATCAATTAATTTTTTAAAAAATAAACACTTAAAAATGTAAAAATTATTTTTCACGAAGCAAAGGGAGGTTTTGCATTATAGCATCTGCACCAAGCTTCAGGTCAACCAAATTCGGCTTTATCTGTTTTCTTTTTGGCAGGAAATGTTCATCTTTGTCTATTTTTTCCCCATTTTCTCCTCTTTTTTTTTCTTTTTCCTTTGTGGCCAAAATTTAATGTTTGGCGATTAATTTCTGTATTTAATAGTTAGGCTGGGGATGGATACATTGAACAAATTAATTTCACATTGACAAGACTTAATCACATCACTTAAATTTCCTTAGCTGGCAGAATATGGTGCTTTTTTAACACAATGTTTGATAGCTAGGAAAGGAAGAAAATAGAAAGAAAGAATAAGGGTGAGGAAATAGAGGAAAATTATTTATTTTCATCCTATTTGGTATGAACAATTAAAAATATGAAGAAATAAAGAGGTTAAGGATAAAATTATAAATAAATTATTAATTTAAGTGTTTTTTTTTTTTTTACATTTAAAAGGATTGGATTTGAAGAAAAAAAATGCAAATTCATTCATTTTCTTGACTTCTTTCTTTTTTTTCTTCTACCAAGGGTAAGGAAAAAATAGAAAGAAAGCAATTTTTTTTTTTTTACTTTTTTTTTCTTTTATATCAAATATAGTGTAAAATAATTAATAATATTGATCAAATTATCCAATAAGGCCACACGTTAGTCATGAACAAATGTTAAACAATCCCCAAATACTACAAAATAAATTTAATAGTAATTAAGGGTTTCTAGATATAAAAAAAAAATAAAAAATGGATCATTCTTTTTCACTAAAAAAATATTTGATGCATAAAATTATAAATAGAATATGATGATCTATCTTGTGTTTGGTTACACATAAAGGTGACGATTGAATTGCATAGAAGATTAGTTATTCTCTAAGTATAGAATAGCTTAATCATTTCCAAATGAGAAGAATTATTTCTAATCCTATGAGATTAGATATTAGAAACTTATAAATTATCTATTTTATTCTTAAAATTTATATTTACAATTTCACTAAAACATTTAATAAGTTAACATATGTCATTATAATTAATTGATTAATCCAAATTATTTTTTACTTTCTCTTATTTTTCTTTTTTTCCTGTTTTACTTTTTCTTATTTTTCTTTTTGTTTTTCCATCCTATTCTTTCTTTTTTGTTTTTTTTTTAAAACTTTTTTCCACTTTTTCTTTTTTTTTTTTAAGTAAATAAAAAAATATAGTTTTGATAAAAACTAATTTTGAATTTTTTGAAAAATTAATTTACTTTTTTTTGGAAATAACTAGTTTTTAAAAATAAATTTAAGTGTTAACCGTAAATATTATTCTAAATTAAATATTTTTTAGTTAATTAATTTTGAATTATTAAATTTAAACAGTATTTTTTTTCTTTTTTTTTCATTTTCCATTTTTGTTTTCTCTTGTTTTTCCTTTTTTCTTTTTAGAAAACAAAATTTTTCCCTCTTGTCGAGAGGGAGAATAAAAGAAAATGAGAAAAAAATAAAAAGAAAAAATAGATAAAAATATATTTTTAATATATATTTTTAAAAAAATTCAATTACTTTTTTGGAAAAATAAATTTTAAAAAATAATTTTAGCTCTCAATCATATAAATTATTTTAAATTTAAATTATAAAAAGCGAGAAAACAAAAGAAAAAATAAAAAAAATAAAAAAATAATTTTGACAAAAGTTAAATTTTGAAAAAAGTTTTTTAAAAAATAATTTAACTTTTTAAAATGATTGATTATTTATTAAAAGATAAATTTTAGGGAAAAAATAAATTTAACTCTTATCTAAAAAAAATTATCATAAAATATCTATTTTTAGTTAAAAAAATTTTTAACTACATTTATATAAAAAAATCATAAAAGAAAATTATATTTATTTAAATGAAGAATCATTTTGACTAAAAAATTTGTTTTATCTTACTTTTAATTTTATACATAACAATTATAATCAAAGACAAAAGTTATTAATTTTATCATACTCTTAATTTTTGTACATATCAAATATAAGATACAATAATATCATTTAATCTAATCTTATTTATAATCTTATATTTTTCTATTCTATCTATGCATTAAATATGTTCTAAGCATATTTAATAATGATCGCCCAATCATTCCCCAAACAAAAAAAAATGGTGGAGTACATCTGGATATGGATGGAAGCTGTGTTTCTGCAAATAATTTGGTCCACAATAATTACACGTGTTAGCTTAAAACCTTGTTTGTGCAATCGTTTTGAATAATTTCCATTAGGATTTAGGACCACCATCCACATAATTCACTCAGCTTCATGCTTCATTTGAAGCATGATGCATGGGAGCATTTTCACTGTATTTTATGTATTTTTGCGTTCTCATGACTAGAATTCACTAGGAAAACACTCTGCTGGATCATAGAACCTGACCCATACAGGACTACATTTCTCTGCAATTGGTTACAAACATTTTTCAAGCGATTTGAAACCATTAAAGATGAATCTTGATCACTAAAACTAAGATTCACGACAAAGAGCCGTTCAAAAGTAGGATGGAATTGGATTTAACGAAAGATACAAGTAGGATGATAATGATCTGTAAACATATTACCGAGATAAGTCAGCTTTTTGCTGTCAGTAGAATCTTTTCTCGAGAAATATATGCTACCAAGAAAGTTATTCCCGAATCTTCACTTAGGGATCTGTTCAGAGTTTTGATGTTAATAGTAAATGGAACGAATAGCCTTAATCTGTAAGCATCCCATCCCACGTGATTCTCATTATATTAAGAATAAGCATCTTGAATCAGGCCCTGACAATATTCGGAGCCGCCTAGGAATTGATTGCTGGTTCATTCAGTGGCAAAAGCAAAAATGTTTCTTGTTCATCAGTTACACAGCTTAGCCTTCTGTCTCTTCCACTAGTTTTTTCCTTTACAAATGTATCAGCAATTTTGAATCTCTGCCAATCTATATGATCAGACGATTTTTTTGTTTCGACAAGAAAAAAAAATGGCGGCTTCTCTGCCAATATGCATGAGTTTGAAATCAACTTTAAGAACTTTTACATTAGCTTCTGCATTTTAGAATGGTAAAGCAAAATCATTCATTTGGGTAAAATGTTAGTACTTTGATTATTTTAAACTGAAGAGATTCCAGAAAGATGTCGTTTTCTGATTAAATGGCATTGCTTTTGTCTTTTGTTTTTTTGTATCTTCTTTGATCAACGATTTCGCAGCAAGAAGCCAATCAATTCAACCAAATGTAATTTTCAATGAGGCTGTTAATGTTATTGCTCATTTCTATGACGGTAAAACAAGCCAATTGAAAGAGTATATCATAATGTCAAATATGCAGGCCTAGGATTCGGATTTTTGGCTCCAGACTCTACTTGGTCTCTGCAAACAAGAGGCGCGAGCGCAAAGAAGAAACAAAAATAAGAAGAAAGCAAAACTTTTATATCTTACGTGTGTTTTTTTTTTTTCCTTTAATATTAATTCGAGCAGGGCAAGACAACTCTTGGAATAAGTTCAAGTAAATTTGAACGAGAAACTTAATGGTTTAATATCAAATCGCGACCTTTGTAATTCTTTCTTTTATCCTCATGCTACGACTTCCATTTTGTGAAAAGATGAAGATAATGGTATAGTTTATAAAACTCCATTGTTTTGTCAGAAACCCTTCAATGAAGTTTCTCAATAGCATGCTTAAATAATCTTGGCTGAAGCAACGGGAGGATTTGATATGCAATGGTCAACAGCTTGCATATATAAAAAATGCACATTAAATTGTTAGCAACAAATTATTATTAGGAATAAGTTAGGATCATATGAATATCATTGACATATATATATATATATATATGATTAGATTATATCTTATAATGAAGACAATCTGTAAGACCAAAAACACAATCTGTCGAGGACATTCCATTGAGCCCTCAAAAGGGTTCAAAGGGTTGTGGAGATATTTGATAAATACGAAGTCTGTTGCCTTAACTACACTGTAAGAAGAGTAATATATTGATGAAAGTTATTTTCTTGGAATCAACACCAGTGGTCCTTCGTGTCTTTTTCCACTCCAGACATGACAAACCAAATTTTTACAGAATTTTTTTACCTGTATTCAGATAATTAATTGTGCTTGTACGAAACAAAAAGTTACTATTAATTACCTACAAAGATATTTCTTTTCCTTCACCAAATCTGATAATTTGCTGATAACACTCCTGCAATGATTTGTTTCAAGCTGAGCTTGAAATAAAGTAATCAATAATCAGCCTTTGTTCTTGTTTCGACTTAGTTTCCAAATTGTATCTGATTTTTCCATACGGCCAAGGGAAATATGCTTCTATGCCAACTTGTCAACAGCTTGCATGGATGCCGACATCCAATGAATCAGGATTCAGGGAGTACTTAAATAATATTATTATTGAATACATGCAATGCCATGCATAACTTCATATAATCCTTTCTTACCGTCGAAACCAGATTGAAAAGATATACGTTCCCATTATGATCAGGTCATTTTCACTGAAACCAGAATTGCTTACATTGCAAGTACTTCTTGAGGATATTCGCTGGCATCTGCTGTAAGCCTGTATCTATTACTTGACTTTCTAAGATATTATTACAGTGAGAATTACAATGAAAAATATTGAAAGTCCAGTTAGAAGAAAATCCAATTCTTTGACAAGCAGAGTTTACATTGCAATTTCAAGGCAGATAAAAATGAAAAGCAGACTTTTGTTTTTTCATACAAAATCAATTGGGTCATAGATCTCAATGCCTTCTCTTCTTTTTCCTACTATGGCCGTCATCCTTGTAAGAATCGTTTCAAGACGTTTTACCCCCAATAAGCTGCAGGATTATGATACATATCCCTCAGTCCATAATGTTAAAGTCGTTATGCATCTATCAAAATCAAACCATGCATTGGCAAAAAAGAGGGATTCTTAATTTTTGTGTTCATTAATGACAGGTCAATGCAACATTGCTTCGGTCTCGAAATCTGTAAAATGTTAATTGAAAGTTATGACAAGAACTAAGAAAGCTGGAAAAACCATTATTTTAATAGTTGCAACCAATCAGTGCGAGGATGTTACCAGAAGATTCACCCATGAAGTTTGGTTGAAGACGCATTCTAGCTATAGCAGATGGCTCATTGGTAAAAGCTTTCCTTATACACTGTCTTATTTCATGCAGCGAAGCTTCTGAACCTAATATTTTTTAAATTAAACCCGTATTATCCCTCTGTAGAAACAAATTGCACGGCAACCAACAAAGAAAGCGGCATCATTTTGTGATAAAAGTTGCATAAGAGAGAAAATAACCATCTCCTTTTTAACTGCATGAAAGATTAGTAACCATGCATGTAAACCAAATACAAAACAACACATCGAAATCCAATTATTAGATAGCGGCGACAATTATTTATTATTATTACTATTATATATGGTGGTCTCTCCAAGATTTCCACAAATTTATTTATTTCCTTGTACAAATTCTAATATAAATACCAAGAAAGTGATTCGAAATATCTTCCCACCATCCCACGAAATGTTTGGAACGAACAGGTCAAGTGCTACTCTCCCACCAGGCTTCAGATTCCATCCTACAGATGAAGAGCTTATCATTCATTATCTAGTGCCGAAGGCCTCGACTTCCTCAAATCCGTTACTCTCAATGATAGCTGATGTCAATATCTACAAGTTCAATCCGTGGGAATTGCCCGGTAGTCCTTTTCTTGTCATCTGATCTTTATATCTTATTTCATATACATCTGTGGCTTGGTATATGCATGTTTGAGTGTGTTTATGTGCATGGTGCATGTGCTTTCACAATGAGTCAAAGAGAGTATCCTTATAAATTTTTTGTTCATTCATGTCATTTAATTTTGTTTCCTGTTTGTTTTGCTTATATTTTACAGATAAGGCTTTTTTTGGGGAGGATGAGTGGTTTTTCTTTAGTCCAAGAGATAGGAAGTATCCAAACGGAACACGTCCGAACAGAGCAGCTGCATCTGGCTACTGGAAAGCCACTGGGACTGATAAACCAATCATCACTTCTGTTGGATCACAATGTCTTGGAATGAAGAAAGCTCTTGTATTTTATACAGGGCGTCCTCCGAAAGGTGTAAAAACAGAGTGGATGATGAGTGAATATAGGCTTCTCGATGATTACTTTCCATCTCGAAGGCCTAAAGAATCGATGCGGGTAAGTTAATTTCTTTAAATAGGCTTACACAATTATGACAATTAACATTTCAAACTTTCATCAGTGAGTCTGACTTTAATCTCTTCTCCATATATCTTCTTGTTTTAATTAGTTGGATGATTGGGTTCTGTGCCGATTCCGGCAGAAAAGCAAGGTTCCTCAACAAATAGGAGGAAGACACTGTGATAGCAGTTCTAGCTGTTCCCCTCCATTGGCTCGTGGGTGCTTACAAGGTCAAGAGATGATAATACAGAATTACACCATTCCCCAAGGCAATATTATGCATCAGCCACCTGCAGATCAGTACCAGATGGCTCCCCTGGAAAGTGAAGAAGTAGATGAAAAGGGACAAATGGAGTTCCAAGGAGGCTCTCCAGATTACTCACTCTCAACTCCCACTTCCAACTCTCAAACAACCATTGATTCTAATTTCAGAGAAGTGCTCAAATCCATTGAAAGGGTACTTTCTGTTGGAAATTTGGATGAAATAATGCTATCAAAACCAGAGGAAATATTGAAGGCCGCTTCCACTTCAAGTAACAATGTCAACGCATCAGTTTTTGAAATTTCTTCTCCGGCCCACCTCTTCTCACAGTTCTAATTCATACTATCCTCGTCTGTCAAACATTCTTTATTTCTTTACTAATCACAACAGTCCCGAGGCTGAGGGTTCCATTACCAATACCAAACAAAGAATTATTCTTGTTGTTACACCAACAATAATAATTATGTTCGATTTGCTTTGCTACAACAAAGAGACGCAAAGATATATACTTATTAGTAGTGAAAGAAAGAGAAGCGTTCTCCAATGCTTCAGGAGAGGTAATTAATGAACTGTGTGATTTTCGTTGAATGAAAGATTTGGTTTATGTTTCAACTTTCAAATGACAACTGAACATGGCTGGAAGACTATGATCCCACGTTGCTCTCAAATCTAATATGATGTTATTTGTTTTTTTTTTCTTGTTTCTTTATAATGAATTATCAATATATAAGAAAAATCTGTATATGTTCCATTAAATTGAACCCTCTAATTCTTTTTTTTTTTTTTAAATGAATCTTAAAATTTTGGGTGCAAGTACCAAGAGGCTTTATTTTACTAGCCAAATCAGGCAGTACATGGTGATATTTTTGGTATATAATCAATTTTTGTTTTGACATGAAAATTCAAATTCATTTGGCCAAATTTGGTTTATTAAAATATGAGGGAAATTTTTAAAAATAAAAGCATAAAAACATTAAAAAAATAGGATTTCATTTTTTTTTTTTGGCATTATCTTTGATAGGAAGAAAAGGAAAGGGAAGGAAAGAACGAGGTAGAAAAAATAGCTTTCTATTTTTTTCAGAAGAGAAATAAGAAAAGAAAAAGAAAATGAGTAAATTTAGGATTTTTAAATTTAATATTTTTAAATGTAAAAAAAAATACTTTTTTTTTTTATTTTTCATTATTCATACCAAACATAATAATTTTTTTCTTTTTTCTTTCTTAACATTTTTCCCTTCCTTCATAAAAAAACATAACGTTAATGTCTAAAAAAAACTTTAGTATAACAATAATAATTTTGGAATGTCTTTTTTACAATTATTTTCTTACATAAAGGCCTAATATAAAGTGATAAAGTGAGCAAGAAATAAAATAAAATAATAAAAAAATTAAAAACAATTCGGCGAAGTAGCTTTATTGTCACGCTGTCGTTCAGGATATGAGACTAAATAGTTTAAAAAGACGAAAAAACCCTTTCTCTACGCCCACAATTACCAAAAGAACCACGTATATCAGCGTAATTTTACACCTCCATCCTTAGTATCCTATAACAAAGCCCAAAGGTCTTGTTCGCTTCATCTTTCTTTTCCCACCCCATTTTTAAACCTCTCGTTCAGTAGTGTGGAAAAACCAATAAAACGGTGCAAAAACAAAGCCCCCAAAAGATTCTATAATTAAAAACCAAAGGAAAAAAAAAGGCGAAGAGAAATTAGAGAGAAAATCAATTGAACGGAGGATCTGAGCGAAGATGATGAAATTTTTTGGTAGAGGAAAAGACTCAACCGGTGATGTGTCGCCGCAGTCATTTGGTCACTCGGCGTCTCTATCGTCGTCGTCGTCGTCGGTGTCTCCGGTGACCGGTCCTGCGAGACCGATTCGGTTGTTGTACTGCGACGAGAAAGGGAGGTTTCGGATGGATCCGGAAGCGGTCGCGGCTTTGCGGCTTGTTAAGGAACCAATTGGAGTCGTTTCCGTCTGTGGCCGAGCTCGTCAGGGCAAGAGCTTCATTTTAAATCAGGTAATTTCCTTTTTTTATTTTACTTCTTTTGAAGATAAGATGGGGGAAATTTATGTTCTTTTGGTGTTTTGGTAGGTGAAACAGTGAAGTCTAGGGTTTGAGACTTCAGAAGTAGAAAATGTTGTAAATTTAGGGTTTTATAGGTCAAGGGTATAAATTGTGATTAATTGAACTGCTTTTTGGTATAAATTTGCTGTTTTTAGAAGCTTTTATTTATTATAGCCGTAAGTGGAAAATATCAGCATCATATTTAAGCTTTTATTATATAAGTGCATTTGGGTGGAGATTACTAATGAGGTTGAGTAATGTATGCTTGCTAGAAAAAAGAACATCCGCAAAGGTAATTATAATTTTGAGTTAATGACTTGTAATTGAGTATGAGTATAAAGAAAATTATGCAAGTGTTTAACATGAACACATTCACTCTACGCCTAGGAGTTTGATGTGAATGTTATTATAAAACTGATTCTTATGAACTGATCTGACCAGCTAAACTGTATCTTTTTTAAGGAACCAAGTTTTAAGCTGGATTAACTTTTTTTTGTCTCCTTTTATTCTCAATCTTTGTATAGCATTGATTGGTGAGTTATTTGTGGTATCACAGTTAAATATTATACTTGTAAGCAATTTTTCCTATTGAAGCTTGTATGGTATCTGTTTTTATCGGCTTTGTCTGATGTATCTATGACTGATGGCTATGCTTTCATTTTTGTGCTCTAGCTTCTTGGAAGGAGTAGTGGATTTCAAGTAGCGTCAACTCATCGACCATGTACAAAAGGGCTTTGGTTGTGGAGTGCTCCATTAAAGAGAACTGCTCTTGATGGAACTGAGTACAATCTTTTGCTATTAGATACTGAAGGAATAGATGCCTACGATCAGACAGTTAGTTTTCACTTACTTTTTGTGGAATGGATTGCTTATTAATTGGTTATTTTGACTTATGATCTTATCTTGCAAACTTGACAGGGAACGTACAGCACTCAGATATTTTCATTAGCTGTCCTCTTATCTAGTATGTTCATCTACAACCAGGTTGGTACTGCTTTTTTCTTTTTTTTTAACATGACTTTTGCCACCATTCTCTCCCAGTTTTGATTGTATACTTCTTATATTTAGATGGGAGGCATAGATGAAGCTGCACTGGATCGTCTCTCACTTGTTACTCAAATGACAAAACATATTCGAGTCAAAGCTGGAGGAAGAACAACCACAGCTTCTGAACTTGGGCAGTTCTCCCCAATATTTGTTTGGCTTCTCAGGGTATTATTTTATTACACAGAGACACAAATGCACTCTATGATATTATTGGTTATCACATGTTTGGTTCTTGAATATGGATGTCATGAGCTTTCTTATGGTTGTTATATATTCTTTTTTCCAGTTTTCTTTTGTAAAATATTCATCTTACTTGCAGGATTTTTATCTGGATTTGGTGGAGGATAATAGGAAAATTACTCCCCGTGACTACCTAGAGCTTGCTTTACGGCCAGTTCAAGGTAGTGGGAAAGATATAGCTGTTAAAAATGAGGTAATTCTTAACATGGATTTAATTGGGGAATAAAAGAAATCAATATCAATTATGTGGAGGCATGATGAAAAGAAATTGTCTTAATGCTTAATATGCCAATTTTGTTGCTATTTGAATAATTTTTATTGGCTGAAGCTAGATATGCCAGAGATTCTAAGAGGACTGTCCTTAGTATTTTCCTAATGGCATTCCTGTCTTAATAGATTAAGATTCATTTCTCCAATGTTTATTATGAAGGATGTGAAGAACTAGAGTATTTGAAATTTTGTTCTCTGTGATAGACACTGATTATGCATCGTTAGTTATTGATAGATCCGGGACTCCATTCGAGCTCTGTTTCCTGATAGAGAATGCTTTACCCTTGTGAGGCCTTTGAACAATGAAAATGATCTCAAAAGGCTTGATCAAATTTCGGTTAGTATCTGTCTCCATATATGCCATTCTCTCTCTTGTTCTCTATTATCCTTTTTCTTTCCTCTCTCACTCCCTCCCTATCTCGGGCCTGACCATGCCTTTTCTGTTTAGCACGCATCATTTATGTACTAAGACCTTGGTTTTCATGTGCAGCTTGACAAACTGAGACCTGAATTTCGAGCTGGACTTGATGCATTGACAAAGTTTGTTTTTGAGAGAACAAGGCCGAAGCAGGTTGGGGCTACTGTACTGACGGGTCCTGTTCTCATTGGTATCACAGAATCTTATCTGGATGCTTTAAATAATGGTGCAGTGCCTACAATATCATCCTCATGGCAGGTAAGTTACTGTTGTCAAGAAATGCTACTGGATTTATCATTAAATTGGACCAAGGACGGTTAAAGAAAATACATTGATGCTGAAAAAAGTTAAAGAAAAATTCCAAAGCACAAAAAATATAAACATTTCCTCATTTTCCAGAGAACAATTCTTGAGTGTTATTTTCGTTCAGAGTGTTGAAGAATCTGAGTGTCGAAAGGCATATGATTCTGCTGCAGAGTATTATATGTCAACTTTCGACCGTACAAAGCCGCTTGAGGAAGTAAGTGATGCTTTTATCATAATCGTTGTGTGGTTGTTTTGATAAATTCTTAACATTTCTAATCTTGATGTTCCTAGGTGGCATTGAGGGAGGCTCATGAAGAAGCAGTTCAAAAGTCGCTTGCTGTATATAATGCTAGTGCTGTTGGGATTGGTTCAATGAGGAAGAAGTATGAGGAACTTCTGCAGAAATTTTTCAGAAAGGCGTTTGAGGTATGCAATTAGTCAAAGGCTACATCTATAGGTTAAAGTCTTTATTTCTATGTGATCAAAATGCATGGTAAGCCAAGAATTGTTGTATTGGTCATTTATGCAGGATTATAAAAGGAATGCATTTATGGAAGCAGATTTGCAATGTTCAAATGCCATACAGAGCATGGGAAAGAGGTTGAGGGCAGCATGCCATGCTTCTAATGCGAGCATAGATAATGTTGTGAAGGTAAGTTGTTGTCTAAATGCCCTTATTCTTCATATGAAGGACTTCAATCTAATTCCATAACGTTATTGCTCTTTATTAACTGTTGTTTTGAGATGATATTGCAAATTTAGATTTTACAGCACTAAAATTGTAAGGATGAAGGGTTAGTTTATCAATCAACCTGAGTGGAGTCATAATTTATTTCCTTTCTTTTGGTCCTATGAAAAATTCCACTGATTTTTATTTTTTTTATTTTTATAATCTATGTATACAAGTGATAGAGATATTATGTGGTATTGGCTTTTTCCATAGGATGCCTTTCGTTGGGTTTGATTAGAATGTTACATGCAGGTTCTTGACGCTCTTTTATCTGAGTATGAAGCCTCATGCCATGGCCCTGGAAAATGGCAGAAACTGGCTGCTTTTTTAGAGCAAAGGTTTGTGTCAA